GTTCTATTAGCAGTGTGATCTTGTTAGCAATGTGGTTCTTGACAGTGCGGTGTTGTTAGTAATGTGGTTTTGTTAAAAGTGTGGTTCTGTTAGCAGCATGGTCCTGTTATCAGAATGTGGTTCTATTAGCAATGTGGTCTTGTTAGCAATGTGGTTCTTGACAGTGTAGTCTTGTTAGCAATGTGGTTTTGTTAAAAGTGTAGTCCTGTTAGCAGCATAGTACTGTTAGCAATGTGGTTCTGTTAGCAGCATGGTCCTGTTATCAGAATGTGGTTCTGTTAGCAGTGTGGTCTTGTTAGTAATGTGGTTCTTAACAGTGTAGTCTTGTTAGCAATGTGGTTTTGTTAAAAGTGTGGTCTTGTTTGCAGTGTGGTACTCTTAGCAGCATAGTATATTGTTAGCAGTGTGGTCTTGTTTGCAACAAGGTCCTCTAAGCAGCAAGGTACTGCCAGCAGTGTGGTCGAGGTTGATCAGCTGTGGCAACTATCTTGAATCAAATTGACTAAAAGTTGATCAGATATAGATGTTTGTCTAACGCAGGGGTGTCAAACTCGTTTACAAAAAGGGGGCCAAAATTAAAACTTTTTTTCAAACTATAGGCCAATTTTAGAATCTACATTAACTCAAGTTAGGTACCCGACATATTTTCTTGGTTGCAGGTTCCTCAACAAGAGCTTGATTGGTCTCATTTGACGTTCCCTGCTGCACTTTCTATAACATAAACAAAGATTACTGAAAAAAAAAAAAAATGAAGCAAATGATAAAAGTATTATTACATTTAACATATCACTTGGGGGACCAGATAAGATGTAAACGAGGGCCAGATTTGGCCCCCAGGCCTTGAATTTGACACGTGGTCTAACGTGTACCTTCTGAAAGTTTTACTGAAATCTTTCTAGTAGTTCATGATATATTTTGTTAACAAACGGACAATAAAATAATAATTGTACACACATAGAGTGCAGGCAATTAGGTGATGACCCATTTTTATTGGCAACAGGGGATATTGTCAGAGAAAAGTATAGTTATCTTAATGAAACTGTATATGGAGCAACTATATTTATTTCTTCTTTATCATAATTTTGTAATATGAGCCATTTCCTGCACATACTTTGTTGTTAGACAAATGCAAATGTAACTTTACTTTTTTGTGTAAACCCATTTTTAGATTCCGTAAAAGCATCAGAAAGGATGTACATGATCAGAGATCTATCTCCGGGTCTGTACAGTCTGTGGATGAGCGCTTCGACTGCCAAAGGGGAAGGGCCTGCCGGTCAAAAGATCAAGTTCTACATCCAAGGTGAGTATTTCAAAATCAAGAAGTATTAATATTGTTAAAGATACATAAAAGAACATCCTCAGTGCTGTTCAAAATGTTTAACCTGGACTACAAAGCTCAAGAATATTGTGTGGCTCCAAAATGAATTCAATTGACCCTGGATTATTTTCTCAAGGATTTATGACACAAATGGCAGTTTAGCATTAGGTCTGAAATGATCCGGGGTGCTAATTAGTTTTTCAATCCATGGCTACACCACTGCATTTTTCAAATGATCAGATGAATCAGTCAATCAATCAAACTTTATTTATAGAGCCCTTTCCAGCAGCCAAAAGGTGCACAAAGTGCTGCACAATACAGAAGTTAAAAACAATTAAGAATTAAAAACCAGACAGTTAAAAATGAAAAACAAACAATTAAAACATAGCAAGATTGCCAAAGAACTACTAGGTATTAAAAGCCTGCCTGAATAAAAAGGTTTTAAGTTTAGACTTAAAATGCTCCATATCAGTGATGGACTGCAAGTCCTGAGGTAGCTGGTTCCAGAGTCTGGGTGCAACGACAGAAAAGGCCCGGTCACCCCATCGTTTGTAGTTGGACTTTGGGACAGACAGTAGAAAAGTATTGGATGATCTCAGTGTTCTCCTATATTCACGAACAGCTATAAGATCAGTCAGATACAGTGGGACAAGACCATTAGGAGCTTTAAAAGTGAATAATAAAAATTTGAATTTAATTCTAAAATCAACTGGAAGCCAGTGGAGAGAAAATAAAACAGGGGTGATGTGTTCATGTCTGGAGGTGTTGGACCACACCAGAAGACAGGGTGCTATTAAGAACTGCAAGGACAGATGGGCCCCACAGAGGAAAATACCTCTTTAGAAGGTCATGGAAGGACAGGGAATTTAAAATATTTACCATGCATCCATTTTCTTCCATTTGTTCCAAAGTCAGGTTGTGGGGGCAGCAGTTTGAGCAGGGAGACCCAGACATCTCTTTCCACAGCCACCTCTTCCAGCTTTCCTGGGAGAACTCCAAGGCATTCCCAAGCCCACTGAGACATAGTCTTCAGTGAGTCTTGGGTCTTCCTCGGTGTCTCCTCCCAGTCTGACATGCCCGAAGCACCTCCCTAGGGAGGCGCCCAGGATGATCGATCTACAACCTAGGGTGTCCTGGTGCCATTTATGGACACACGTGTGTTCGAATTTCGTGTTTGTGATGGACAAACTATGAGTAGCACAGAAGTCCAACAACACAACACCGCTCGGGTTCAGATCAGAGAGGCCGTTCCTCCCAATCATGCCCCTCCAGTTCACACTGAAATTACCCACATAGGCATAGAAGTCCCCCAGCAGAATAAAGGAGTCCCCAGCTGGTGCACCTTCCAACACCCCTGCCAAGGACTCCAAGAAGGCCAGATATTCTGAACTGCCTTTTGGTGCATAAGCACAAACAGAGCCCATCCCCCCCACCCAAAGGTGCAGGGAAGCTACCCTCTCATCTACCGGGGAAAACCTCATCACATAGGTTTCAAGTTGGGGGACTAAGAGTAGACCCACACCAGCTCAGCACCTCTCACCATAGACAACTCCAGAGTGGAACAAGGTCCAGCTCCTCTCAAGGAGCTTGGTTCTGGAGTCCATGCTGTGTGTTGAGGTAAGTCTAGTTGGTACCTCTACACCTCACGCACAAGCTTAGGTTCCTTCCCCGTCTGAGAGGTTACATTCCTTGTCGCAAGAGCCAGCTTTGGTAAGCCAGGGTCAGAACACAAAGGCGTCTGCTTTTGGCCACAGTCCATGGCGTCATGTACCTGACTCGTATGGCCCTCCTGCAGGTGGTGGGTCCACAGGAAGGCAAACCCATGTTGCTCCTTTGTACCGAACCTGACCAGGCCCCATGAGTAGAGACCCGGTCACCAGATGCTCGCCGACGAGCCCCTCTCTCAGACCTGAGTCCAGGGTGGGGCCCTGGTAACCCACATCCAGGCAAGGGACATTGAGCTCCTTGCTGATTTATGTCCATCTGAGTCTTGAGAATTGCTTTTTGTCTGGCCTGTTACCTAGAACCAATCTGCCTTGGGAGACCCTACCAGGGTCTACAATTGCCCCAGACAGCATAGCTTATATCATTCAGGCACCCAAGAGGAGCGCATAAAATACTTACCATTGTACAAAAGTTTCAAACCTTCTCTAAAGGTTTTATTCTTTTGATCCAAAGTGCAAGACTTTCTCAAAACGTTTTAAAGGGGTTGCAATCAACGGTTTTTCCAGGTTTTTTGAAGGTCTTCCCAAGTTTTTCTTTAGACTTCAGCTGCTTTTTCTATAACTTTTATAACTTTCTGCTCAGTTGTTGTACATGACATGACAGCACATTTAGCATGGTTTGCTTAAAATTCAGACAACTAGAGGACAGAGCTCCATCTATGGCATATGAACAACATTTTAATGTTTTGTTTAAAAACAGGAACAAATTTATCAAATCAGAGCATGCTTAATGTTGTTTCCAAGGTTTGACCAAACCAGCTATATAAAGTCTTCCCCTCAGCACAAGATGATTTTTGTTTAAATCTCAGGCATCTCTGGTAGAGGGTGATATGCAACCCTTCAAGATATGCCTTTAATTCATTTATTCTTTTCTGAGAGGAGCTGAGTGTTTGCACTTTAATCTCATATCTCTGTTATATTGCTTCTGTTGCAGAGGACCCCCAGCTGTACCCTCTGATAATGTGTGTATGTGCTGTTCTAGCAGTGCCGTTTCTTTGTTATCTGTGGAAAAATTCTGCAGTGAAACAGAGGTATGTACATTATTTATACTATGCATGTTTGTTATTATGCATGTATGTTTTAATTTTTTTTACTGTGAAACAACATATGGTGTTTCTCTTGCAAAATGTATTATTTGCATACAGTTTACTTAGACATGTCAGCATGTTTACACTTGATTTTTACATTTCTGCTGAAAATAGTCATATAAATAAACTTAGCCCAAAAAGTAAGGCAATGTGTTCTTTTTTTTTTTCTTTTTTTTTTGGTAACCATACTTCATGGCAAAAAATATACTGGTGGAAAGCCTGATTAATATTCTTTGAATTATCCCACATTAGTTAGGAAAATGCAAGGCTGAATGAATGAATGAATTTGTGGGTTAAGCAGCAGAATGGAGTAGGTAAGTTGTGCCCATTAAAATATATTTTTTAATCTTTTCTGCATTTCTACCCTATTCTGCTATTGAATGTTATTTGGTGTCGTTTATTAGCTTGGCTGCTTTAAGTCTTAACAAGCCAACAGTTTATTAACTAAACAGTAGCATGTGGAAGAACCATACACAGCCACAAAGACCTGGCACCTTTTTATGCTACTCACCAGTTTGGTCACATGTTGCTGTTGGATGGCATCCCATTCTTCATCCAGCATTCATCATAAGTAAACCCACACATAGATGCAAGCATTGTCATCTTAAAGAATAGAGTTTGGTTCCAGAGTGAGGAGATATGGAATTACCACTGGTTACTCACAGGTGATGACAATCAGGTACCTGCTTGGCATCTATTGCAAAAAAAGAGTTTGCAAGTGCCCATCAGAGTCACACAAGTTTTTCCAGAGCACAACCCAACTTAACTCTGCTGCTTAGCCCACAAATATTTTTCACTTACAAATTTAAGAGGAAACCAGGACCTGGCCTGGAACAGGCTTTCCAATGTTACAAAAAGCATTGTTGCAACAATACAATTATTGACCAAACACACATTCCTTTACCTTTTGTGCTACGTTTAGAAATTCCTGTTAGAAAAAGTGTCGGCTTTGTGATACAGAAATGTTTCCATGCAGCGCTGCTTACAAGTTTTCCACCTTTAGATTTAGACAGATTTTTTCCTGCCTCATTCCTGATGTGCCAGATCCTGCAAATAGCAAGTGGGCAAAAGAGTGCACCAAAGATAAGGTATGTAAAGTAAGTTAAAAATAAATAAAATAAATAAAGCATTTGTCATGTTCTTACTTTAAACAAACGTTTTCCCCTCCAATTAGGGCAAAATGATTTTCCAGCTTCCGCCAGGTAACTCCAGTTTAACCAATAACGAAGATGAAACCATTCTGGTGAACGTGGAGGAAATTTTCAAGCAACGCTGCGACACATACACCCCTTCGAAAGTCTCGCCACGTCCTCCCATTCAAACCAGCCTGAGCCCGGAGACCGAGCCAACCACAATGCTGTATCCTGCTCAGACCACCTACATCAAGAGCTTCTCCCATGACTCCGACAGCTCCAACCACACAGAGAACTCTCTGGACACGAACACCACTGTCGGCTACATCTCGTTACATGGGTCGGGGAATCTGGACACCTCCCATCAAGAGGAGGAGGAGGAGCACTTCTTTCCTAGTCTCAGCCTCTTCACGGAGCCCCTGGAGTTGAGAGGGAAGCTCACTCTTGATGCTGTAAAGATCGATTGCAGTGACTTCTTTCAGAACGCTTATTGTGACTCTGAGAGCTGAATTTGTCAAAGAAAGAAAAACCGTTTGTTTTAGAGACATGGCGAACAAGAGGGCAAATATGACGACTGAACGTAATGGCAGAATTCAGTGTTTGTTTTAGGCTGAGCTCAGAGCTGAGATGTGCATGAACTACCTCTTTGCTTATTAATAAAACTGCAGAGAACACTCTTGCTGAAGTCTAAGCTTAAGTTTAGCAGAAATCATTCCATGCATTACAAATGTTTTCCAATAGAACAGCTATAAACACACTAAGAATGACTAAAATACCTTGACTAAAACATTAAAGATCTTGTCTTGATCTTAGTTTGTTTTAACATTTCCCAGCAGATTTTACCTGTCATAGTAGAAAGAATAGCATCATCCTCTGCCATGAATTTTAGCATTTGCACCTGTTTTTCCTATTATTGTTTTAAACATTCGTATGTCGTGTTTCTAATGTATACTTCTTTGTGCATAATAATGTCCAGTGCTTTCATCCTACCTCAACTTCACAAATAAGGATGTCAAAATGATCAAGTGCAACTTTTGATTTCTCCAAATAATACAAAATATTTGTCATTGTGTGTCATCGGGAAAAATAAAAAGAAATAACTGAAAGGGCTGAGAAGTACCAACATGTGAACCAATAAATTTGTTGGTTTGGTAATTATTATAAGACAGTGGTTCAAAAAGTATATGGAGTGTGACCTCTGAGGTAAGGGGTGCCATTACAGGCAGACTATGGGGCCACGGCCATTCCTATTTTATTTTAATTTTCAGGCCTAAAACACTGCATTGATGGTATGTCATGCTCAGAGTATGTGTTGTGGCTAATTTTCAGCTACTACACCCCCTACACTTTAGCTCACTATAACTTAATTTGCTGCATAATTAACATGTTTATTTCCAAAGGTCACTTAACTTGCTTGAAAGTTTGTGAACCCTTTAGAATTTTCTATATTTCTGCATAAGCATGCAATATCAAGGTGAAATTAGAGTCACGCCAGGTTCACATATGTAATATTGGATCATTTCCCTCAATAAATAAATGACCAAGTGTTTTGTCTCGTTTGTTTAACTGGGTTCTCTTTATCTACTTTTAGGACTTGTGTGAAAATCTGATGTTTTAGGTCAAATTGACGCAGAAATGGAGAAAATTATAAAGGATTCACAAACTTTCAAGCACCACTGTATGGTACCTTAAATGGCTCTTAACACACTTGGGGAGTGTTAAAGCTAGCTGCTGCTGCTTATGCTTCCAAGTAACCACATTGTGATTCAATAATTTCATAAAACATGAAAGTAAAAGTTTAGAAAATAGAAATTGCATTCAAAGATTAGTGATTACAAGATCACTTTGGTCACTGGTAGCCATTTACTTTGCACGTTAGCTAAGATTAAACTTTTATTTCCTCCAAAATGATGTTCAAGGAGCCATCTACAACAGGTAAGATATTAAATTCTCATGACCATTCCACAGAACCCCACTACTGGCCTTATTGGTCAATCTGAGTGCTGCTTGCCGGCCCATGAGGCCTCTCAAGTGGGGAGGCATTGCTTGTACTCCAGAGTTCACCAGGACCTTTTTCAATCAGATTTGGACTTGATCAGGACCATTGTGTGGTTTTGTGCGGGCTATCCAAAGATCCGACTCTCTCTAAAAGCGTCTTAGTGCTCACAGGCTGCAGAGCCAATCAGAACCGGACCAAGCCTGGCGAGTACCCAAATAAAATTTTGCAGTACGTTGCTACTGTGCAGTACATATACAGTACATAAACATGTTAAAATTATGTAGGTTTAAAAGTTTAGAACATTGTGGGCTTCGTCGCTGGAGTGTAGGTCTGCTGAACCGGAACCATGCTGCTGTTCTGCAAAGCTGGTGAGTAAAATTTTGCAATACTGTGCAGTACTGTATATACAAGTACAGGTGCTAGTCATAAAATTAGAATATCATGAAAAAGCTGATTATTTCAGTAATTCCATTCAAAAAGTGAAACTTGTATATTATATTCATTCATTACAGACTGATATATTTCAAATGTTTATTTCTTTTAATGTTGATTATAACCGACAACTAATGAAAACCTCAAATTCAGTATATCAGAAAATTAGAACATTACTTAAGACCAATTAAAAAAAAGGATTTTTAGAAATGTTGGCTAACTGAAAAGTATGAACATGAAAAGTATGAACATGAAAAGTATGAACATGAAAAGTATGAACATGAAAAGTATGAGCATGTACAGTACTCAATACTTAGTTGTTGCTCCTTTTTCCTGGATTACTACAGTAATGCGTCGTGGCATGGAGTCGATCAGTCTGTGACACGCTCAGGTGTTATGAGCCCAGGTTGCTCTGATAGTGGCCTTCAGCTCTTCTGAATTGTTGTGTCTAACGTATCACATCTTCCTCTTCACAATAACCCCGTAGATTTTCTATAGGGTTAAGGTCAGGGGAGTTTGCTGGCCAATTAAGAACAGGAATACCATGGTCCTTAAACCAGGTACTGGTAACTTTGGCACTGTGTGCAGGTGCCAAGTCCTGTTGGAAAATGAAATCTTCATCTCCATAAAGTTGGTCAGCAGCAGGAAGCATGGAGTGCTCTAAAACTTTCTGGTAGACAGCTGTGTTAACCTTGGACCTCAGAAAACACAGTGGACCAACACCAGCAGACATGCCCCCCCAAACTATCACTGACTGTGGAAACTTGACACTGGAACTCAAGCAACGTGGATTCTGTGCCTCTCCTCTCTTCCTCCAGACTGGAGATGCATTGATGATTTCATTAGTTGTCAGTTATAATCATCAACAATAAAAGAAATAAACATTTGAAATATATCAGTATGTGTGTAAAACAAGTTTCACTTTTTGAATGGAATTACTGAAATAAACTTTTTCATATTTCAATTTGGTTTACTCCAGAGCTAGCTGACCTCCTGCACAGGAGAGATCATCTTTGGGCCGCAGCGAGAAAATCTGGCTCAGACACTGATTGGTTGAGTTTTCAACAGATGAGGAATAAATGTACAACTGCTGTCAAAGCAGCAAAACGCAACTATTTCTTATCTCAGACCTCCAAAAATCTAAATGACCCTAACAGATTCTGGAAAACCATCAAATCTCTCTCAGGCACCCCCCAATCATCTGACCTCCCATCACAACTTCTCGTTAACTCTGTTCCTGTGTCAAATAAGCACGAGATCCTGAACTGTTTCAACAAACATTTTGTTGCTTCTGGTTCTTTATTTGACACAGTTACTAATGGAAGATCAGCCACTTCACTTAATAACCAAACTTCTACAAATCAAATCCCTCCTACAAGTCAATCCTCAGTTAATCACAGCTTCTCTTTTTCTCCATTCTCAGTCAGTGAGGTCAATAAACTGTTAAAAGATCTTGACCCTAAAAATCTGCAGGTCCAGATGAACTTCCACCTTACTTCTTAAGGCTGGCTGCTCATATCATCACAGTCCCTGTGACCCACATCTTCAATCTCTCCATAAGACAAAACTCCATCCCAGACACTTGGAAAACAGCCTTTGTTCTTCCTTTGCTGAAGGGAGGTGACCCCACCTCACTGAACAACTATCGACCAATCTCTAAACTCTGCATTTTAGCCAAGGTTCTAGAAAAACTGATAAACTCTCAAATCAAAAATTACCTGGACTCATTTAACATCTTACCTCCACATCAATCTGGTTTCAGGAAACAACACAGCACAACCACTGCTTCACTGAAGGTTCTTAATGACGTTGTTGAAGCACTGGATGCTAAGGATGATTGTGCTGCACTTTTCTTAGACCTGTCTAAAGCTTTTGACACTGTGGATCAAAACATCTTGTGTCATAAACTCTCAGAAATCGGTTTCTCAGAACACACCATTGGTTGGTTCTCTAACTATCTTTCAGACTGGAGGTAATGTGTTCAACATAATGGTACTTCCTCCAGTTATTTAACAGTCAACAACTTTTGAAATCTGCATTCAACATCATCCAGACAGATTTGTTCCGCCTCAAACTTGTCCTAAATGCCGACAAAACCAAAGGGATGCTGTTTTCAAACAGGAAGTCGGTCCCAGCAGTTCTTCCTCCGATTTCATCCTCAAATTATCTCGATTGAGTTTTTTTAATTTTTTATTTACCGTTTATTTATCCAGGTAGTTTCATTGAGCCAAGAGAACTCATTTTCAAGAGAGACCTGTTTAGGGAGCAGATGGGGGTTAAGGGCCTTGCTCGTGGTCCCAGAGTGGGGCGAACAAGGGTGGGAGCAGGTGTGGGTGCTTCACCTACCCCACCCACATTCTTAATGTCGTCGGTACCAGGGCTTGAACCAGCAATCTTCTGATCACAGGCCCACCTTCTCTAACCTCTGCACCACCACTCCGCCTAGTTTGTTGATTCCTATAAATATTTGGGTATCTTGGTCGACTCACATCTCTCTTTTAAGCTCCATGTGGAAAACTTGATAAACTGAAAAGTTAAACTGGGTTTCTTTTTCAGAAACAGATCCTGTCTAACCCTGAATGCTAGAAAACGCCTTGTGTATCTGTGACTTTCCTTCCCTCCATTGATTATGGTGACATTTACATGAACGCTCCTACAAGAACCCTGCAGATGTTGGATGCTGTCTATCATGGTGCACTAAGATTCATAACTGGCTGTGATTATCGTACCCACCACTGCACCCTGTATTCACTGGTTAACTGGACATCATTAACTTCACGCAGACTCTCTCACTGGTACATTTTCATCTTTAAATCACTTCTTGGTCTGCTGCCTTCATACATCTCCTCCTCCATGTCTCTGTGTGAGTGCAGCTACAGCGTGCGCTCTCAGGACATTATTACCTGCAGTGTTCCCTCAATGAGGACTGAACTAGGCAAAGGGGCCTTCTCCTACTCCGCTCCTGTTTCCTGGAATATCTTACAAAAAGATCTGAAGCTCTCGACCTTGACCTCTCTAAGTGGCTTTAAGAATCTGTTGGACTCCTGGCAGGGACCAACACAGACATATTCCTGTTTTTAGTTTTCTACATTCACCTTATAATCTAGCCGTTTACTTTTTTTTGCAATCTTATTTGTAAAAAAAAAAAAAAAAAAACTTGTATGCCTTTTTTGTGGCTGTCCGTCGTTTTCATCACTTTGTTAAAATCAGGTCTCTCTTGTAAATGAATCCTGGAGACTCAATGGGATTAACCTGTCTAAATAAAGGTTGAATTAATTTTATGACCAACACCTGTATATTGTTAAAATTATGTAGGTTTGTTTAGAACAGTGCAAGTGTGGGGTCTATAAAGCCTTAAAAATATAAAATACTAAAATATAGTGTTCCTACTTTTGGATTTTCACTTTATTGCAGGGGACGGTCCCGCAACCAGAGATAAACAAGGAACTACTGTAACACCTGATGTAGATGAAAAAAATTGATTCAAAAATTAAACTTTGCCGACCACCTTTATTCATCAACAGAGGTCTAATAGCAGGGCTGAAATTCACACAATTGCAGAGCACTTCAGCTGTTCCACATAACGAACAGCTGTATTCCTTTCAGAGCAGTTATACAGTGGTGCCACTGTGGAAGCTACACAGCAAATAAAAAGCAGAGAAAAGATCAGCACAGAACTGCTGAAACAAACCAAAGCAGAGCCGAGTCAGGTTTGGGTCTGTGGAAGGATGCTGGGTGGAGTGTAAACAGAACGGTTCTGATGGCTTCCAGAGGTCTTCAGCTACATCTCAGCTGTGCAAAAACACCCTTTCATCACTCTGAAAGTCATGACCTACACACGGTTACTGAAAATGAAATGAGTGGAGGAAAAACAATCTTATAAACACAAGCTTTTAGCTTCAAATCGATCCATTTGACAAATATCTCGGGATAAAACTTCTGCATTATAAACAGTGTTCCACCAAAAATGACCAAATGTACCCAACATCTTAGTTCAAATGAACATTCTGATTTAGGTAGCTTTTAACGTACGTGTTTAAATGAAGGCAGCATTTCTTAATGAGGAATCAGTGTCTTATGTGCCTCGGGTGAAAAAAGTCCTTGTAAGAATGTATGAAAATAAGATCATACAAGAATAGACCTGTATAAAATGTGACAAATCAGTGCCAAAGAGAAAAAATAAAATAAAATAAAACTCGATGAGTGAAGCTGTAATTTCATTAGAAATGCCTTGTGTGGCACAACTTGGATTGGAGCTACACAGTGCACATTTTGAAGCGAACAATAGCAAAAGAAAAAATATGCTTACATTTTAAAATACATATTTTTAAGAATCAATTATAAAACTTTAATGAACAATGCATAACCTCTGAAAAAAATACTGTATGAAAACATCCCTGCTACTTTGTTTCAAAGTAAAAAAAAACCTCTACCAACAAGTTACTCCAGAGCAGCAAAAAGTCCTTTTCCTTTTGTATTTTTTTTGGTTAATTTCTGCTTTTTTTACTTTTTGTTTTTATTGGATAAAACTCAGTCCTCACATTGAGTGTCATGGGTATGACAGTCTTCTCCATCATTTCACTTCGCTGAAGGATCCAGGAACATGTGCAAGCCTCGTAGTGGAGGTGCTTGGGAGGCTCCTGTAGGCCTGAGGGTTTACAGCCAGAGCTTAAGCCAAGGCTGGGAAGGCTTCAGGGTCATCCACGTTTGGCACAGACGCAGATGACTACAAGGAAACATGAAGAACGGGTGTCAATTTGGAATAAAGCCATAGAACAAAGTCTCGTCGTGGTTTCAGAGATTAACCATTTAAAATTTTAATTTCATAACCTTTTTTGTTGCACATAATGCAAATACAAACAAGTTATGCTAAATGGAATTGAATCAACTCTTTCTAGCGAACCAGGCTAATCAAAATGCTTTACAACAATCTGTGCACCCGTCCACGCACACCACTACACCTTAAAGATAATCAGAGGGAATCATTCTACAGCCTAATCAGCGCTTCAGATCACATTCATACACTGAGGGGGCAACGAGGGGTTACGTACCCTGTCAGTCCTTCCTCCACGGGACGGCCTAGGCGGGGCGTCGCCTCGGCCACGGCCTCCACGGCCACCACGTGGTCCTCCACGTCCACGGCCTGGGCGGCCCAGGTCTCCGAAATTTATCTCCAACTGGGAGGTAATGTCGTTGGCTGGCTTCCTAAAGTGGTGATCGTCTTCGCCCTAGTTTAAAAAAAGTTTTTTACATCAGTTCATCATCTCATGTTTACAAACCGTTTGAAATTTTGTTGCGTTTAGGATTTTTGTTTTTACCTTAGGCTCATCAATGTCCTCAGGCAGATCGCCTCTTTTGTCCTGTTGAACAAAGATCACAACAGCATTAAGTACATTAACAACACACAACATTTGAACAAACACTATGAAAGATATTTCATATTAGGTTAATGTTGACAAGTTTTTACACTGCTCCCTCCACACTCTGCCTTTCGGCCGCTCCCTTCCTCACAGCGCTCGAACTCACATGAACATATGGCAATTGTTTTACGCCCGACGCCCTTCTTGATGCAACCACGGAGCTACCACATCCCTGTGTGGAGCACAGCTGCTGTCTAGGGCGCCCGGGAGCCTCAAGTACAAAGACTCGCATAGATTTCCTACTGAAACATGGCGTACGCTTAAATCGAGAAAACAGCGCACATATCAACAAATCCAGATGTATGAAACTGCGTACACATGAAGCCAAGCACACGTCATTTTTACATCCCAATCTACGTGGAACTGAACATATGACGGGAATTCCCGACTGCACCCCTGACACAGCCCATTTAAATGTTTTGTATGTAGGATTCTTGTTCTGCGCGTTACAAATTTATGTCTGGATGCAGCAAAATGAAGAATTTCACTGAATGTGAATCAAAGACGCTCCAAGACAAGTAGTGGGTGTAAAATCATGTTTCCCACACACATAAACAGGTGTGTGTGCGTTTCGCTTTTGAATGAAGTAAACGAGGGAGGGGAGGATCTGCGGGAGGATCCTTTTTTAAGACATTTCCAAGTATTCCAAGTATTTCCTCCGCGGTGTGGGGAGATTTTATGAATCAGGTCATCCCATCCAGCTGGCACAGCTCAGGGACAACAGAATAAATGATCAGTATTTGGTCTGAGTGATCCTTGAAAACAGCGTCCCCATTATTATACTGGCGACGTCATCCTGCATCACCGCGGTCACTGTCCTACAATTACGCACAACTTGACGCTGCCATTTATGAACATATATGATGGTGTAGTGGACCTGAGGAGTCAGATGATTGTTCTGAATTAATTTGCTGATCTGACATCGTCTTCTTCTCAGTGAGAATGAAATGCCTCTTACACACAAGAATCTGTCCAGATGACATGACTTAACTTTGTTGGATCTTTCTACCTGGATCATTGAGCATGCATCGGGACATGCCTCTTACACGTTATGCTCCCCTGTCCGTGCACCTCGCAGGCGTGCACTCAGTGATGCGTTTACATCTACATGTGACAAAAAAATATAAGAAACTTTGCCGTTTACAATGAAGTGAGGTTGTTTTGATCATTTTGGAGGCATCAGATGTTCAGTTTGATGTTAAATGAGGTTCAGTTTTCTTGTTTGAGTTTAAACCATAAATGGGAAACTCATGTTGCTGTATTCATTCATATCCATCTGCTCAGACTCATGTTCGGGCTGCTGTTGATATGCCTTATTATTTTACATTATTAGTGTTTAGCGTATATCTCAGATCTTCTAGCGTACCATTTAGCATTTGTTTAGCGTACATTTTAGATCCTTATATACCGTATCTTTTTACGCTTTATATTTTTGCTATTGTTAGGTGCAACTGGGAGCCTGAGTTAGGGCTGGGCCATATCATATCGTTCATAATACCAGTAAAAAAAAGCTTGCCTGGGCAAATATATGAGATCATGATATGCTAATTTCATGATGCAATACGTCAAGCGCCCCGCCCCGTTAACAGAACCAATCTACATTTGCTGATTTATATTTTGTGCAGACATTTTCAATCTAAATAACAGAAGGATCATTTTTATTTTTATACTTGGGAGACTGAATACTTTACTAAATAAAGTAATTTCAGTAAAATTAACCCTTTTTTTTATTATTAGTTTTTATATTATACTGCAAAGCAACATGTTAAGTTAATTTTGTCAATTCAATAACTATGATTTCTGGTTGGTTTTTTTTCCCCGTGATAACATGAAATTTATCGTTATCGCCAGAATGCTTTGAAATATCACAATATTATATTTGAGCCATATCGCCTACCCCAGCCTGAGTACATAATTTTGTTCCACCTTATGTGGTGAAATGACAATAAACCCATTTGAACAGAAAATAATAATGTTGGAATATTCGAGTTCAGAAAACCGAACAGTCACATTTTTGTGTATTTACGAGTTTTAGTACTTTGTAGTCTGATACTGTGGACTGAAAATGTTTCTCACTGCAGGCTAAAAATGTGTGTCATGTACTTTCATGCAACGTTCATTTTGATACATCCCAACATGTGCATTGAACCTGGTGCACGCAACCTTTTCGTGCACATGCACAAGAGGCCCCAGTGGAGGGGGGTGAGGTAATGGGTGGAGGCAGGTGTGGACGCTTCACCTTTCTCGCCCACATTTTGATGTTGGTCCAGGAGTCCAAGTGGTGAGCCTCCAACCACAGGCTCACCTTTAACAACCCGCCACCACCATCTCAAATTTATTTTTTTTACACTACTCGGTCTCATAATTTGGCAGATTAGAAGTTTAATCTGTCATTGGCTTTTAACCTGATCAACAAAAATTAAAAACCTGTAAAATAATGGGTAAATGTGAGTGAGCTTTTACTGAACTTCTCTAATATCTACAATAGGTGATTGTTTAAGCCAAGTATAGAGTTTTCTTATTAAATAGAACTAGTTTAGACTTACTTCAGCCTTGGACTTGTGCAGCACAAATCCTTTGTTCCAATCAGCTCCCTCATTGGCCTTTCGGATGTTGAAGTCTACCTTGGCCCTTTCTTTGTCTTGCATGGCCTTCCACTCATCCAGAGTCATCTCCTTGGGGCCTTCTTCCTTCGGTTCCTCTACCTCGTTCTCCCTTAATCAACACAGCAACATCACAACACTGTTAGAAGCACAAGTTCATCGTTTTTATAGCGATGATAGCACCACCTTTGACCAACGGCGAATAAAAATGTAAGCTGAAGTGTCTTACTTGTTCTCAGAGTCAGCAGGTGGATGCTCCTCTCCTTCAGGGTTCTCCTCTGTGACATTAGACTGGTTTAGCTCACTGGAAGGGAAGAAGAAAAAAAAGACTTGATTTAACTTGATGTTTTTGAAACACCCCCACTGTTATTCAAGGAGGGTTGCGTGCCCCACCTTTTAGAATTCTAATAAAATTATATACCTCTATGTTTGCACGTGACCAGTTCTATGTGGCAGGGAAGACACCAAAGCCTCCCATCACCCCACCCTCCCTGAATTTGTATCAAATATTTGCCTCCAACTTGCGCATGTAACCAAACCTCCGCTAGTAGAGCGCCACTGCAGCAGCGTGCACAGCCTGTGTAGACACTCTCTTGGGTAAAATCACTGTTTTCTGCAGCTTTACTTCATGAAATTAAACTTAAGTAACACTAAGACTTTGATTTGTATCCCTCAGATTAATGCAAAGATACGTCTCTACAAAAAGAATACATTTGGTTGTGTGCGCTAAGCTCATCCATATCTGAAACGATACTGTGAGGTAAATGTACTGTGATGAATGTAATTCAATAAAAGATCCAATATGTAAAATATATTGTACTAAACGACAAAAGGAGCAAATCCCTTTGAGTGAAATAAAGTTGTTCTAAGGCAAAAATTTATATCAGTCTGGAAGATATAAACGGCATTTTTTTTTATTATTTTGTGCAGTGCAAAGAACTACCTGTGCTATCAATTTTAAAAATATTACCCATATAAACAGAACATTTGATCAAAATCAGGTAAACAACGAACTGGAACAAAATCTCCAGTCTGCCGTTACGCGCTACGTGTACTCACTTTAGTTCATCCTTGACAGTTCCCCAGTTGTGAGATCCACTTCCACCGCGCTTGTCCTCACCTTTCAGAGTACTAAGTAAACAACAAAAGGATTAAAATGTGCTTCTGTCACTGATCTAAAATATTTACTGGACTAGCCAAAAGATTCTGGAAGAGCTCGTTTAAAACAAGTTTACCCTACACAAAAACTAAAAGCAGCACTTACGATCGGTCGCTGCCACTGTGTCTGTCAAATTCACGTTTTCCTCTGGAATCAAAGCCGTCGCTCCGACCCATGCCACGGCCTCTGCCTCCACGGGCCCCCCTGCCAACATTGCGACCCCTCATTGGCCGATCACCAACAGGCCTGAAGAAAGAGGAAGACAAATTTTACAGAAGCAAACAAACACAAACGTGGACCAGTAAAATGAAGGTTGATGATGAGTAAAAAGGTTTTTAATTAGAAATATGATTCTTAAATTTAGATTTTCTTGGTGACTCAAGTGCAGCAAAGAATAGAAGCTAAAATGTTGAATTTGTAGGTACAGGTGCTTCTCAGAAAAAATTCAGTATTGTGAAAAAGGTTCATTTTTTCCTTGTCAATCATTTCAGAGAGTAGTTTATTATCTGCAGTCATTATACAGTGAAATGTTTCAAGCCTTTATTTCCCGTCATTTTGATGATTAGATTACAAACAATGAAAAACTAAAACTCAAGTCTCAGAAAATTTGACTATTGTAAAGAGGTTCAATATTGTAAACTGGTGTCCAGTGTTTCCCTACCATTACACAAGTAGGGCACCCCGCCCCATCAACAAAACGAGCTCCCCACCTACCGCACCCCCGACCTGCCGGCACTGACGTAGCACTAAGCTAACAGTGCATTAGATAAAAGGCAGCGCTCACGTGAACCCCCCCCCCCCCCCCCCCCATAACTGTAGGTACAAACAGCACGCAGCTCAGACATGTCTCTGTTAAACAACACGCCACCCCCCACCCCCCCCCCAAAAAACGCCCCGGGACCACAAAATATCATGGGGAAACAGTGATGTCACACCCTTATCAGCTGTTTAACTCCCAGACACGAGCTACAAACGTCTCATTCCTCAAGTCCAGACACTCCTGAACCAGAGACGACGTCAGAAGCGTCTTACCTGCTGAGGACAAAAAGAACTGGACTGATGCTCAGTGGTCCAATGTCCTCCACACGGAATTTGGTTTTTCATCATTTGTCAGCCATAATCATCAAAATTACCCGAAATAAAGGCTCAAACTATCTCACCCTGTGTAACCTATATCTATATAATATACGAGGTCCACTTTCTGAAATGATCGACACAGAAATTGAACTTTGATATACTATTTTTGTTAGATGCACCTGTAAAATGCTCATTTCCCATCCAGCTGTTCTTGAGCCACATCTGCAGATTGTTCTGATGTAATATTTGATGTCTTCATTTACACTTCAATATCAAAAAAGCTCAGAGGGGAATTTCCATTTACTAAATACCTTTAACTATTTACAAGCTAGTGTCCATCTACTTTGGGGCAGTTGTGGCTGAGTGGTTAGAGTTGTTGTCTTCCAGTGAGAGGTGGGGGTTCGATTCCACCAGCAGTCACATGCTGAAGTGTCCTTGGGCAAGACACTGAACCCCTCATTGCCTCTGATGTGCATCCCATCAGTGTATGAATGTGATCTAAAGCACTGACAGGTCTCTTTAGATTCAGATTAGCTATGCAGAGATCTAGTAGTGCTGTATGAATGTGTGGCAGTAAATGATTACATCATTTCTTTCGATCCACCGTTTTAGAGAACAGTTCAGACATTTTGTCTGCACATTGCTGTCCAGTCAATCTCACTCTAATAGAAAGATTTCGTTGAACTGGGACTCACTTCTCCACTGAGAATTCACCGCCCTCTGGTTTGTCTGCAGTTTCACCAGCAGGCCTCTCGAAGCGGCGAGGCGGCCGCCTGTCCACAGGCCGCCTGTCTGAAGGGGGTCGGCTCTCTCCCTGACCCCCCTGAGGTCTAGAGCCTTCTCCCTCTGGCTTCCTGGTCATTCTTCTCAAACCTGCACCTACAATTGATCAGACATGATGATTAGATGACCAGCAACACTGGTAAATCAGGCTCAACTGTCAAGTCAAGAGAAAAAAGAAAAAACACACACACACATATATATATATTTCTATTTAAATGAAGTAAAAAAAAAACTACTGTGTTATGATGATTTGAGCCAACAGATCAGCATGTCAATGAACTGGACTCCTCAATAACTTCTTAATGATCAAATAGTCTACTTTAAATAACATATTTAACTGAACATTTGAAACTTAACTCTCTGGCTCCAACAGGAGCCATGACTGACCCAGCATTTTACCCTCCTTGACACGGTGCCAGCCCAGCACTCATTGACTAAATCGCCAGATACCAAAATAGACCAACTTCACAGCAGCAACTGGTTGCGCCACACTCCGTGCACCCCTCTCATCTTTCAGGCAAACACGCACGAGCCCACTTTACAGGGACTGAAGAGAAAAACCAACATTTTCTGGGTCAAACTCTCACTTTACCTCAACAAGTTCACCAGACCATAAAATGTACTACAAGCTTAGTAGTAGTATACACATGGGTCATATTTACTGAAAATAAGTTGATAAACGCGCCAACAGCGTGCTCATCGTGCGCCAATGAGAAGCGTCTGCTGTGGCTTTAACACACCCCACGCGAGGGCGGCCACGAGGTTTTATCACAAGTGCAATGTCTGCAGAGAAATCCGCCGAGAGAAAAAAAAACAAAAAAACCCGACACAGTTCGTTTCTGCATCAACAACTGACCCTCCACGTGCTCTAGATACACATTTTAACCGGTTTGATAAAAGAACACGTGATCTTATTTAAAGTTCCGTCTGGAACTGGTAAAAAATATGGACGAGGCCTAGGGGTGCAAGACCAAACAGGGCCCGTAAAACTGGTTCTCGTAATCTCTCGCTAAAACGTCACTTAACGCAGTGAAACGCGTATTTAAGACATTTTGAACAAATGGCACTTTAACGCTGAAGCACGCGGACCTCATGTCACGACACCGCTGCCTGCTATAACGAGCAGGTTAGCTTAAACTTGGATATTAATTACACTGTTGGGACTACGCGGTTCTGAAAATGTTGATTACCATCTTTTTTAAGTGGAACTGGAGCCTGAGTCTCTTCCTTCTTGTCTGTCAAAGGTATCTTTCTTTCTTTTTGGGACTCCTTTTTGGGCTGTTTAGCTGCCTGAGCTGCAGTCTTGGTGGCACCAGGAGCAGAAGGCTCCTTCTTCTTCTTAACTTCTTCGGCCTGCTTCAAAAGCTCGAAAGGATCCGACTCGTCGTCAAATAACTGGTCGAACCGATTGGTTATGGCACAGCCAAAACCTTCTTGCATTTGTCCGGGCATGATGGCGCCCCTTCAGCAGGATTTTCCTCCGATTCTACGAGGATTGGTGCGAACACTTCGCTAGATGAAGCCACAAGATGGCTGGGAAAGGACCTTCTTCTCTTCCGGTGCAGTTTACATCCGGGACCTCGGGGTTTGCGCGGGTAGGGTGTGTAGTTTCTTTTCGAAGCGCATGACTGTTTAATGAACGGCAATGTGAGTATAAGAAAACGCAATTACCCACAATGCCAGAGTTGTTCTATAGCAAAGCATGGTTTGCGCCGTATGAACCATTTTGTAGTTACGAGTGCGCATGCGCACAGCTGCGTCTAATTTTTCTGGGTCACAGGTCATTCTGGATAAACATTGAGTTTGCGCTGTGCTTCATTGTATATAATTACGCATAGTCAGTACATGTGCAAAAGTAATAATCAAATATTTTGAATCTCCCGTAATTGCTCAGTTCATAAGTTCAGATAAGAAGAAAACATGTCAAAATAAACTGACAAGACTGTTTTTGGCATGAAATTATGTCCATGTTATGAGAAAAATAAATTTGTCAATTTCAAATTGGCAAAAAGTTACTAAATTATATTTTTACCAAAAGCAACTTAAAATTGTTCTTGATATTTCAGGAAAATCATGCCAAGAACAGATACAGTGAATTGAGGGAACAACACCTGGAACAGTGGAAATCCAATGACTGGAGCAAGATTTTAACTGGGCCAGAGTTGCTGGTTTCACCCATGAACATGCCTTAGATGTGCAACATTTTTGAATATATGTATACATTATATATATATATACATATATATAATGTGTATATATATATACAGTCAGGTCATCTGGACAGTTTCTTTTTTGTGCTGAAACGTTTCGCCTTTGATCCGGAAGGCTTCATCAGTCAAGGAAACACACAACAAAACTGATTCCTCCCCCAACAGCTTACTCCAAAGTGGAACAAACCAGTTTTGTTGGTGATAAGATGGTCTCTTTGTCACGCACCCTCCTCCAATGCCGGCCCTCTTCCTTGTTGACAGTCGTGTCAAACTGGTTGAAAACAACAAAGTCGTTTCAGCACTTCATTCTCATTATATATATATACATATATATAATGTATATATATATATATATATGTATACACATATATTAAGTTTTAACCTACGTGACAGTTTGCCAGCAAAAAGCTCTCCATCCATCTAACTAAACAAAGATGCAGAGGCATGCGTCGAGTCTAACAGTGACGTGTGCTTGTTTATGCATAGCCTGTAAGTCGTCAGTTGATCCAAAATGCTGCTGCCAGAGTCTTAACTAGAGTTAGTGGGAGAGATCATATCTCTCCGGTTTTAGCTTCTCTCCATTGGCTCCCTGTCAAGTCCAGAATTGAATTCAAAATCACCTACAAAAGCTCTTAACAACCTATGCTCAATAATCCAGGTATAAAATCCAACATTTTTCAGTCAGGTCATCTGGACAGTTTCTTTATTTGTGCTGAAACGACTTTGTTGTTTTCAACCAGTTTGACACGACTGTCAACAAGGAAGCGGGCCGGCATTGGAGGAGGGTGCGTGACAAAGAGACCATCTTATCACCAACAAAACTGGTTTGTTCCACTTTGGAGTAAGCTGTTGGGGGAGGAATCAGTTTTGTTGTGTGTTTCCTTGACTGATGAAGCCTTCCGGATCGAAGGCGAAACGTTTCAGCACAAAAAAGAAACTGTCCAGATGACCTGACTGAAAAATGTTGGAACCTGGCTTCATCTTATATTCGAGATCTTATTGTTCCATATTTTCCTAACAGAGCACTTCATTCTCAGACTGCAGGTTTACTTGTGGTTCCTAGAGTTTCCAAAAGCAGAATAGGAACTTAACATGTGTTTTTTTTTACCTTTAACATGTGTTTTGTTGTCTTTCTTCCAATAGAAAGTACATCTGGACCTGTCATTCTGTGTCTGTTTGTTTCTCCTTCCTGTCCTCTCAAATTGACCTTTCCTTCTTTTGGCTGCTCTCTTCTTCAGAGGTCACCACAGTGAACTAAATCACACAAAGACTTGGCAATTATTTTTAAGCCGGATGCCCTTCCTGACGGGCAGCACGGTGGCGCAAATGGTAGAGCTGCTGCCTCTCAGCGAGCAGGTCCCTGGTTCAAACCCAGGTCCAGGGGCCTTTCTGGGTGGAGTTTGCATGTTCTCTCCGTGCATGCGTGGGTTTTCTCCGGGTACTCCGGTTTCCTCCCACAGTCCAAAAACATGCATGTTAGGCTGATTGGTAACTCTAAATCGTCCCTAGGTGTGAGTGAGAGAGTGAATGGTTGTTTGTCTCGTTTGTCTCTATGTGGCCCTGTGATGGACATGCGACCCGTCCAGGGTGTACCCCGCCCCTCGCACAGTGATTGCTGGACATGGGCACCAGCGACCCCCGTGACCCAAAATGGAATAAACGGGTAAAGAAAATGGATGGATGGATGGATGCCCTTCCTGACGCAACCACAGACCATTGAGCTACCACAGCCCTCTGTGTGGAGCAGAGAGAGCAGATGGTGGGGGTTAAGGCCTTGCTCAAGGGCCCATAATGAGGCAAGTGAGGGTGAAGATGGGTGTGGGTGTTTCACCAATCCCACCCACATTTTGATGTTGTCAGAGATCTTATTGTTCCATATTTTCCTAACTGATCACAGGCCCATCTTCTCTAACCTCTGCACCACCACTCCCTAATTTTTTAAAATTAATAGTTAAAACTGAACAGTTTTAATTTGATACTATTAACGTCATTCTCGACCTGCCATTGTGTATCTGTTCCTCTCAAACCCAGCCAGTCCAAGCAGATGGTTGCTTGTCCTGAGTCTGGTTCTGCTAAAGGTTTCTTCCACACAAGGGAGTTTTTCCTTTCCACTGTCGCCTTCATGCTCGCTCAAGATGAAAGTTCTGCAATGGAGTTAAATTCAAAGCAGTCTGCTCCTCAGATAAATATCATCCATCCATTATCTTTACCCACTTCTTCCTTTTTCAGGTCGCGGGGGTCGCTGGTGCCCATGTCCATCCATTACTGTGCGAGAGGCTGGGGACACCCTGGACAGGTCTCCAGTCCATCACAGGGACACATGGAGACAAATGAGACAAACAATCATTCACTCTCTCACTCACACCTAGGGACCATTTAGAGTTACCAACCAGCCTAACATGCATAGAAAACCAGAGAACCTGGATAAAACCCACGCATGCACAGAGAGAACATGCGAACTCCACCAGAAAGGCTCCAGACCAGGATTTGAACCAGGGTAACCTGAGAGGCAGCAGCTCTACCAACTGTGCCACCGTGCTGCCCAGTCAGATAAATAGTGTTAAATTATTATTTTTATGAATGTTTCTATTAACTTATGATTTTTATATATGATTGTTTCTGTTCAGTTCCTTACGACGACTTCTGTTGTGACTTGGCGCTATATAAATAAACTGAATTGAATTGAATAAACCTTTGGTCATGTGGGTGCCTAAAACTACAACATTGCTTCTTCTTATTGATAGTGTCAGACAGTCCATAGGGGCATGTGGGACAGAGCCCCACCTAAAATATCATTTGTCCCGCAAAGTAGTTCCTCCTAATAATTAATGTAAATTACTTATTTACTGAGCTTGCTGTGCATCGTTTTGTTCTTTGTTGACAATTGTAAGTGATTTTTAGTGATTCAGCCTCAGTTTTTTACCTATTTACCTTATGGGGCAGCCTACCATTTAACCCACATTCGTGAAGCGGATCTGTTCGGGAGTTTTTGGTCAAAGGTAATGGATGCTTTTATTACTATGACTGAGAACATTAACTTTGCCCATGACCCATTTGTTTGGGTTAGAAGAGAGAGCTGGATGAGGAGCTGAAATGCTGCCAGTCATCCAAACATGCTCCAACAGAGTTTTGGGCGTCTGCTTTTCTGCCGTGTGGACACATTCAGTTAGTTTTAACGCTTTGATACAACCTCTACCTAGACCTGCCGTGAGCTCAAACTGCAGATGCATCGAAACCTGCTGAGACCAACAGTGGAGATATTTTGTTTTTAATGGTGCGGACAGACAGGACCAGAACAAGAATGAGAAGAACAGAGGAAAGTCAAAGAATGGAAAATTTCTGTCAACATTGGAAGACCTTGTACAATTTCACGGCCTGTGTGTGAGCGGTTGTGTTGGGTCAGTGGTTGAAGCAGGGGTCTTGCCATTGAGTGTATCTTCAAGCCCCATTTAAATCTTCTATTTAATTTGGTGATAATATATTTTATCATGATTTTTTTACTTTATTATTTTAAAGTTACTTCACTGAACTTTTTTCTCCCATTTAACTGTTACCAGGAGTATCATTTCAGAATTATTACTTCAAATCCAACTAGAAATCCAATTCAGAAAGCTGTGCACCTGTTAGCTGGTTGTGGGAGGTGTTTGTTTCTCTGATTTATTAGATCAGATTGTTTTTACGAGACAACCTCGATCCACGGGAGAGAGAAAAAAGGCAAAAACTTTGTAGGCACCCACACACAAATCCCAACAATATTTGAATATTAAGCACATATATCCATTTTCTTTTCTCCACAGAAAATTTAACGTGTAATTTGTAAATATTTCCAGGAAATTTATGTACGCCCCACTAATATTTTTGCTCAGGGACCACCGCTGGTCTTAAAGATGCTTCCAGTTGTATGAAGTTTATTTGCTTTTAAAACTATACAAAAATTTATTAAATTATAAAGACTCCGATGACATAAAGTATGCAATATTTAAGTTGAGTTTGTGTCATTGAGAAAATATGAATTACAAAAAGTAGTATTCAAACCAGAGAAATACTAAATCACCATGCAGTAGCAGCTACAACCCTGGATTAAACATTAGCTTTTACTACACCCAACTCCAGATTTAAAACTGGCTGCAAATGAATTTCTACATGCAGATAATTTTGACAACCACAAAATGTAAAAATGGTCAAAAAGCTAATTTGGAATAGCTTTTAGCTATACTCTGCTGTTGCTGCTGAAACTGAGATTTTTGTTGGTGTTCAAATCAAAATATGCAAATTATAAAAAACAAATTATAGTTCAGTGACCTTATCTTTTGTCTGATATAGCTCCTATTTTGTGTGGAACCTTCAATTTTTTTGCCTATCTGCTGTTTTTATTCAACATTCCTCATCTGGAAATTGAAGCTGAACGTGTTATAAAATGAATTTTCAATAATAAAACTGCTGCAAACCTGCACACATGAAGTTTTCCATCCATTTTTTTGGAAGCAATTTTTTGTAATGTAATTAAAGCTGTGGTAAAATGTTCCTATATGTGCACATGCAAATCAATAATTGTTACATGTTTTTCTGATAGGTGCCGAGTCATTGATCTGAAACAAGCCCAGCCCTCTGAAATGATGCTGACTGTCCCTCCTCAGCTGAACGTCCACGCGCACATGAAAAATGACGTCTCCGGTAACCAAAGCAATGATTGAGTCTTATGCGCTCATGGTTCTCGTTATGGGCTCGTTCTTTGTCTATTTTTGTGGGATGGTGTGGACTTTTTGCAACCCCAAACTGAGTGGCACAGAGGAACACGGTGGGACCGCAAACCAAACATGGGAGCCCGGCGCGCAGGGGGGGACCACCAGGTGCGCCTGCAGCGAGCACCCACCGGCGGAGACCCTCTCAGAGACCACCTATGTGAACTTCTGGGACGACAGTAACAGCCTGCTCACGGACAGCACAGCGTCTAGTCGTGATGATTTGGGGATTACGCAGCAGATGCAAGAAAGTCCCTCCTGGACCGCGTAAAACTGCAGACAGAGGCTGTCCCAACCTTCAAACGGTATTTCATTTATTACCACCTATTGATAATCATTTGCAGAGTTTGTGAAACATGTGTACAACAGATATTAGTCGTGTTTATTATAATTATATTATTATAATTATAATGCCCAACAACAACAAAAAAGGTAAAGGTGGATTCTGTTTTGAGCTCTTGTCTGTGTGTGTTCACCTGTTAGCAAAATATCTCATAAACCACTCAACGAATGTTGTTAAACCTTGCAGAAAGTAATTATTGGATGAACATCTATAAACGAATAACCTTTAGAGTCAGCCAAGTTCAAGATGGCTGCCACCACCAACTGGACTTTAAAAGTACATAAATAGCTCTAATTTTATCAGTTTTACAAATATTTGCTTTAACTTTGGTGTGATAGTAGCTGAGACTGATACTCAGAATACAGTTTAAGTGACAAATGATTGCACAAGATCTTTAATCAATCAATTCATTCATTCATTCATTCATTCATTACATCTTTCATGATTCCACAGACCCTGATGGACAAACTTCTCATTAGGACTAAGCCACTCCTGTTGCAACCGGGTCCTGGATTTCCTAACCAACAGACCACAGTCAGTGAGGATCCACAACTTCTCCTCCACCATAACCTTCAGCACTGGCTCCCCTCAGGGCTGTGTGTTGAGCCCCCTCCTGTTCACTCTGCTCACATATGACTGTGCACCTACCCATCCAGGCTGTCATATTGTAAAGTTTGCAGATGATACAGTGTTGGATGCATCACAAACAATGATGAGTCCAGCTATAGGCAGGAGGTGGAACATCTGAAGAGCTGGTGCAGAAAGAACAACCTCTACATCAGTGTGAAGGAGATGATTGTGGATTTCAGACAGAGCAACCCCCTCCTGAACACTGCAGGTAGTGGTGAAGGCTGCACAGAAGACTGTTGGAGTCAGCTTCCCCACCATCAAAGACATCTACACCTCCAGATGCAGGAAGAGGGCCACCTGCATCATGAAGGACCCCACTCACTCAACACACACACTTTTTGCCCCGCTACCTTCAGGCAGGAGGTTGTTGAGCATTAAGTGTAGAAACACTAGACTGAGGAGCAGCTTCTACCCTTAGACTGTTAGACTCATGGATCTCTAACCAGGATAATCACTGTAAGGAAGAAAAAAAGAAAAATCTCTGCAATGCCACTTTAACTGGTGAGATGTGACTTATCTGTGCTGCTGATTATCCATGCTGCTGATCTTTTGCCTTTAAGCTGCTGTATTCATACCCATCTGCTCACAATAGAGCGATGTTCAGGCTGCTGTTTAATATGCTGTATTAATTTATATTAACCTATTAGTTTTTAGCATATATCTTAGATCCTTACTGTTTCTTTTTATACTTTAAGTTTTGCTATTTTTGGGTGTAACTGGGACCTTGAGTACTCAATTTCATTCTACTTCATGTACAACATGTGATGCGAATGACAATAAACTTGAACTTGAATTAAAATTTTTCCATTCAGAGTTACAAATTATCTCATGAACCACTGGATAAATGTTAAAATTTTCATAAATCATTACGATGTACTGGAGTCAATACAATTCAAGATGGTCGCCACAACTAAGCAGCATTAGCAAACATGAAAATGACTAGATTTTGAGCTAAAAGTTGCTGTGGTAGTAACTGAGACTCATTGACAACACATACTCTGAGCTCGCTATCTCAAATTATTGAATGAGGTTGTGCATAGCCTTAATTTCAAGGTTTCCTAAAATATCTACACTGTTACCTTCAACATACAATAAGACGATCTAAAACTCTGACTAAAATGGCAGCAGGCAAAACACATTCATTCAAGGAATGCTAGGCCTTGAAGCGAACACCTTCAATACATAAATAAAAATAATATTTAGTGCTCTGCGTTGTGTTTAGGTTAGCCTTAGCTCAGATTTATGCATTGGAATATCAGCTCATAGCACAGTCCAACATCTGAAGCACACAAGAATTAAGACACAATACTTATATTTACAAACCAAGGGATGAATTATGACTATGATGGTTCCAGTAATTTTATAGTAAGAAGGGCGAGTCGTGAAATATTGTCAGTCAGGTCTAAAATATAGGTATATATATTTAGATTACTGTGGATGAAGAGAAGTGAAACCCTTTAGCTGACTAATTTAATGGAAATCAGGGTTAAAAGGTTTATTCAAAATTATAAAGTAAAATACAAGCACAAATGAATAATGGGTTTACATGTTAATAACCCAGAATAAAAGATGAAATAATCCTGACACCAAACCATAATGGATCTGGACATCCGGTCGTCAGGAGTTTCTCCCCACTAACGTGTGCGGTTGTTGACCTGAAGGTGGGCGTTACACGTTCACCGGCCGGAGTCCCGTGGACGCATGGGAGACCTTGGTACAGCTCCAGATGAACATCGCCACTCGCAGGAACAAGTGGTCAGATCTTGGTACCTCAGGGCTCACCTTGGTCTGGCATCAGTTTCCCAGGAGTTCAGATGACCCAGAGTTTGTCGTAGGTGATGTTCTCACAGATCAGCATGAAAAAGGGTTTCAAAAGCAACAAAGTCCATCTGAATTATTTCTCAAACAAAGTCAAAAATTATCAAAAGGATCTGTTCGATAAAACAAAGATCAGCCACTTTAAAAGGTAAATCCCATGAAGTTTAGCTGAAGAATCTGCAGATGACGCCTGCGTCTGGGTTTGGATCAGGAGACATGCAGTCATTGAAGGATCAGCCGTGGATAATAGAGGCTTTGTCTGGAAGATTCTGTTCCTTTTCTGTAGTCTGTCAGCTTTGGTCTGGTTCTCTTTGGATCTTTTCTGTTCAAGAGCTGGGAGAGCATTGTTCAAAGAACTAGAGAGGAAGAGCTCAGGCATTTATCATGATGGATAGAGACAGTTTTATGTCTTGGTTCTGTTGGAAAATAGTTTAGTTGGAAAATGTATCATGTTAGATGATATATAAAAAACACAGATCCACACAGTCTGTGTTCCCACAGCTTTTAGTGGTAAAGTGTTTTTTTCCTCTCAAAATAATTATTCTATTGGCTCTTCATGACTGCATACAGAAATTTCAAATCAAGCTCTAAAAAGAAAATACAATCCATACAATATTGAACCCAGCTGTAAATTCATGGGTACAAACTGTTGTGGAAGAAGGAGGTGATATATTTTGACAGTCAACAGTCTGAATCGAGTCTGGCATCGAATGTCCTCTGTCTTGTACAGAGAGATGTGCATGAAGATTCATATCCTGGAGATCTTCTGTGATGGCTCTCCTTTTCTTTGTCCGTCAGTTTTTTCCTCAAGTCACTTTCTAGTTGAAGTAACTTCTTATAAAATAACACAGAAGTTTCCAAATGTATATCCATCTGCCAACAAGAAAAAAAAAAAAAAAACTTGCACAAACTGCTTTGTGGACGATTTAACTATACTGAAACTTTGAGTTAAAACATATAAAATCTGTCCACACCTTACAAGGTTTTGTATAGTTGTTTCCAAGCACTGAAGTTAAGCTCTGGTATTTGACATACGGGTCCAGAGATTCAGGTTTTTGCTTAAAAAGCCAAAACTGCAAAGAAAAGCAACATTTAGAACCTGAATTTGAACCAAACCGTGTATGAAAATTGGAGAATTTCTTACCAAAGCTTCAGCTCCGTTATAAGAAGACAATGTGAAAGTGTTGGTGATTATTCTTATCTGTCAGTGAGACGGAAACACACTTTAGATACAAAAGAAAAATAAATCAAACTTTTTTCCTTATTTTTGTACAATTCTGAAGCTGAACTAACCAGCCGAAACAAAGGCAGGAGCATGGTCCAGAGGAAGGCCGGGAAGGACGGCAGGATGCCGTAGGTCAACTTGGTCATCACAAAACCAGGACAAATGACAGAGGAGTACAAACCCTAAAAATGGAGAGTTTCAGATGTATTTTTATCATATTTTACACCCATTATATTATATTCTTTGTTGAAATTAGGTCTCTCTTGTAAATGAGTCCTCGAGGCTCAATGGGATTTACCTGTCTAAATAAAGGTTGAATGAATATATCAGTGTGTGTGTGTGTGTTAGGAGTTACATCTGCTCATAAATATCTTAAATATGCAAGTTTAAAACTCCACAGAATAATCCTTAAATGTGGAGCTCTCTACCAAACCAGGTCTATTCAACTAAACTGCTCAGGGGACCACAGTTACTGAAAGTCAGCAGCTCAGGGGCTGGACATCCAGCAATTCAAGTGATTATGTAAATAAACCAAGTATTACAATGATCTGTTTGTTACCTTTTAAACTGGTTTATTTTACTGCATTGATTCATAAATGGCTGGGTGCAAAGCAACCATGGTGGCAGGTGAAGCGGGGGTGGGGAGGGTGGATCCATGGCCATGTCGATCCTTGGTGGCATATTGGTTCTAGGAACTTGGACCATTACCTCACAGTTGAGTAGAAGTAGGAGCTTGTGTGTGAGGTTGAGCGGTACAAGATATATATATAGCTGGACTCACCTCTACACACAGCTTGGCCTCTGCTGGAACCCAACTTCTGGAGAGAGGGACTCTCTTCTACTTCAAATTTGCCCAGGGAGAGAGGCATGTGTGGGGATACTTGCAAACCCCCTCAGATGAATGCCTTGATGTTGGAGTTTTCCCTGGTGAATGAGAGGGTTGCTTCTCTGCTGCTTGGGGCTACAGGAAAGAAGGTTCTGACTTTTGCACCAAAACATCAGTTCAGATTACCTGGCCTTTCTCCAGATGTTTTCCTGGACAGGGTGCTATCTGGGGGGTTCTCGTTTTACTGGGTGACTTCAAACTCATATGGGCAATAATGGAGTTATTGCCCACATGGGGGTGAGGGGAGGGGGGGAACTTTGCCCCAGGTTAAGGAATTTAAGTATGTGGGCATCTTGTTCATGAGTGATGGTAGGATGGAGTGGGAGATGGATCAACAGATTGGGCCTTGTCCTCAGTAATGAGAGCATTCCTTCAGTCTGTCACGGTGAAGAGAGAGCTGAGTCAAAAGGCAAAGCTCTCGATTTACTGATCTATCTTCGTTTCAACCCTCACCTATGTTCATGAGGTTTGGATCATGACCTTAAGAATGAGATCTCAGATACAATCATCCTAAATGGGCTTCTTTCCAGGGTGGCTGTAGGTTCAGCCTTAGAGAAATGGAGGAGTCCTGTCATCCGGAGGAAGCTTGGAGTAGAGCCGCTGCTCCTCAGCATCATAAGGAGTCATTTGAGGTGGTTCGGGCATCTGATGCCTCCTGGACGCCTCCCTTTAGAGGTTTTCTAGGCATGGCCCACTGGTAGGAAGCCTAGGGAAGACCCAGAAAATGCTGGAGGGATTGTGCATCTACTCTGGCCTGGGGATGCATCGGGGTCCCCCAAGACAAGTTAGAAAGTGTCGCTGGGGGAAGGGATATCTGGGTTTCTCTCCTGGACCTGTTGCCTCCACGACCTAACTACGGATAAGTGGTAGAGGATGAAGAAGATGTCAAACCCATTTCCTTGCTAGTTTACCTGTTTGTTGAAGTGGTTGTTCAGGGCCAGGCTGAGCAGGTCTGTGGCATATTTTGAGGAGCTGTACGGCTGTGTGCCCTTCTCATGCTGCATGTCATCAAGATTAAAGGCTGACCGATGTGCGTTACTAGATGAGGTCCAAATCAGCTGCGAGGTTCGGCCAGGACGGCACAGGACCGGCTCCAGCTCCCTGACCTGAGTCAAAACACAGGCAGTCAACACAGCATTTAGGACTCTTTAAAATTAATTAATGTTTTTTTTTATGTGATGTGTGTAGTACTTCTGTCTTCTGACCTTTCAATATCCATCTCTGTAGTGATCTCAGTTTAGAGAATCAGGAAGAAACTCTGATAAACAGCTACAAGTCTCATTTAAGAGCAAACTTGTGCCTTCTAAAAAAAAACCTTAAACTCAAATCCAAACATATTTGTTTTGCTATGCTTCACACATGCATCATGTTTGGTTTCTCTGTGTTATCTGTGTCATACATTTTCTCAAAAAAATGCAAGCCGTTTTTTTTTTTTACAGTTTATTATTTTTTTGTCCTAAAAGTTCCTATTTTTAGGTAGGCATAGAATTTGTGGGCTTATTAGTTACAGTCGTTCCATCAAGATACAGGTAACAGCCATTGTTTCTGCAACACAGATGTTGTTCAGCTAAATAAATTCTATGTTAATGCATTATTGTTAACGTTAATGCAATGTTCTTGTACATCTATGGCAGGCTTTGACTATTATTAATACAGGTATAGTGCTCAGTGAAACTGCAAGGAATGTTTAGCGTTCGAGTTGTCTGAGTAGCTGTCAGCTGCAGGTAAGATAATGACGCCATACATGAGTACTCCAAACCCAAACCATTAAACTATCATTTTAAACGGTTAAGAGATAATTTATGAACAACAGTACATGCTACATGGATACCTCGCTTATAAAAAGGTGGATTATTAATTGTTTCGTCATTTAAAATAAACATAGCAAGGGTTGCTGTTGGACAGTGATGTAAGACTAGTTCATTTGAAAAGCAGAGTGAGCACAGGAAAGTTTGCAGTGACCTTGTGTCTATCTAACAGAGTGCTTTGAATTTTTAATGAGGATAGTTGCTAAGTGACAGAGAGATTGTGTATCGCCTCTTGTTTTTTTTTTTCAAACCAAGGACAGAAAGCTGACAAGAAGTCCCTGCAAAAAACTACAAGATTTTACTGAAAATCTGTCAGATGATTGAGAAGCAAAAATGTAAGAAACTTACTAAAAGGAAGTGACCAAACAGGTTGGTAGCAAAAACTTCTTGCAAGCCTTCAGAGGTAACAGCATCCTTTTGGGTCAAAATGCCCTCAGCGGTGGCCAACATAGTGATGACTTTGCTGGAGTGATAACATTACAGAAATCTGAGCTCAGAGAACAATAACAGAGGAAGCACAAGTTGACATTGGGAATAATTTTTTCTACATTTGGAGGTTAAAAAAAATGAAATCAGCAGTTTACCTGGAGAACAGACCTTTAAAAAAGGCCTTTATGTCAAGCTCTGGGTTTGGCATAATGCCTGCGTTCAGGTAGAGGCAGTCAAGCCTGTCGTACCTGAAGGTGACACTAATATTTACTTCAGAGGCCTTTTATAAAAAGCTGCAGAAACTGTTTGTACTGAATGAAGAATGTCAGCGGAGTCCATCACCTGAGTTTGACTTCTCGCGCAGCATTGAGGACAGAGGAGATGCTGCTGGTGTCCATCTGCAGCAAGTCTATCTGGGCTTCAGGGTGAGAGGCGAGGAGGGCAGAGTGCACGGCCTCGGCCCTGTGCATGTTCCTACAGGCCAGACACAGCCGGACACCCTCCGAGTCGTGTGAGAGGAGACGCTCACACAGAGCCAGGCCGATGCCACTGCAGGAAAACTCTCACTGCTTTATCAAATATTTACCAGTCACAGTCCCACTAAATATTCTTCATTATTTTAGACTTTATTTTTAAATACATTTTCAAAAATAAAACATCATCATACCTAGTCGCTCCAGTCACCAAAACCATCTTTTTCATGTTGTTAAAGATCAAACTTCTCACAAAGTAGACCCGTCTCCTCCAGCTGCCAGCGAAGCCCAACAAGTTGTGCATCTTCTTCTGGGAGTGGCTTTCAAGCTGTGGCGTCAAATTTAGGCTCCACCTCCAAATCCTGATTGGTCACTGTGGCAACACGCCAGCCAATAGGATCCTGACAGTCCGCTTGTTTAATAAAGCTGACCCACTCTGAATAATTTATAGTCAATTTAAATTATTCAGCTTTAACAAAAGAACACAAGAACTCCACGTCCCCAGATTTATATTTTATTTGAGTTTATTCTGTCCGAGACTAATTTTTTACCTAAGATGTAGAAACATCAAAGTTCAGGCTCAATAATCCAGGTAAAAAAATCTAAAGTTAGGTCAGGTCCTCTGGACAGAGGGCGGACTCCAGAAACCATCTTATCACCATCAAACTGGTGTGTGAGTGTGCTACCTACAGGACTGAGTTTGTTGTGGCTCCTCAGACTGATGAAGTCCTTTGGATGAAGGACGAAACATTTCAACACAAACAAACTGTACAGAGGACCTGTAGAAACATTTCTCACTGAACTACAATTAAATATATATTTTTATAAGTCTTAAAAGTGAACAACTGAGGACTCTAATAGGGTGCTTTTACAAGGCTACACATTTTTACTTGAATTTATTTAATGCTACAATGTGAACATTAAATATGTTATTTTTTTTCTAAATTAAATAAAAAAAATTACAAGAAGTGTTTTCAAGTTTTTTGCTCTAATTACAAAAAGAGCTGGCATCATCTTATATCACAGAAGCCACAACAATTTTTGATTGTTGAAAGAAGTGGATCACAATGGCCACCATCCATCCATCCATAAATCCATCCATTATATTAATCCGCTTCTTCCTTTTTGGGTCTTGGGGGTCACTGGTGCCCATTTCCAGCAATCACTGTGCGAGAGGCGGGGGAAACACCCTGGAGAGGTCTCCAGTCCATCACAGGGACACAAAGTGCCTTGCGAAAGGCCCCCTTGAACTTTTCAACCTTTTGACACATTTCAGGCTTCAAACATAAAGATATAAAATTTAAATTTTTTGTGAAGAATCAACAAGTGGGACACAATCGTGACGTGGAATGAAATTTATTGGATGTGTCAAAGTTTTTAACAAATAAAAAACTGAAAAGTGGGGCGTGCAATATTACTCGGCCTCTTTACTTTCAGTGCAGCAAACTCACTCCAGAAGTTCAGTGAGGATCTATGAATGATCCAATGTTGTCCCAAATGACTGATGATGATAAATAGAATCCACCTGTGTATAATCAAGTCTCCGTATAAATGCACCTGCTCTGTGATAGTCTCAGGGTTCTGTTCAAAGCGCAGAGAGCATCATGAAGACCAAGGAACACACCAGGCAGGTCCGAGATACTGTTGTGGAGAAGTTTAAAGCCAGATTTGGATACAAAAAGATTTCCCAAGCTTTAAAGATCCCAAGGAGCACTGTGCAAGCAATCATATTGAAATGGAAGGAGTATCAGACCACTGCAAATCTACCAAGACCCGGCCGTCCCTCTAAACTTTCATCTGGAACAAGGAGAAGACTGATCAGAGATGCAGCCAAGAGGCCCATGATCACTCTGGATGAGCTGCAGAGATCTACAGCTGAGGTGGGAGAGTCTGTCCATAGGACAACAATCAGTCGTACACTGCACAAATCTGGCCTTTATGGAAGAGTGGCAAGAAGAAAGCCATTTCTCAAAGATATCCATAAAAAGTGTTGTTTAAAGTTTGTCACAAGCACCTGGGAGACACACCAAACATGTGGAAGAAGGTGCTCTGGTCAGATGAAACCAGAATCCAACTGTTTGACCACAATGCAAAACGATATGTTTGGTGTAAAAGCAACACAGCTCATCACCCTGAACACACCATCCCCACTGTCAAACATGGTGGTGGTAGCATCATGGTTTGGGCCTGCTTTTCATCAGCAGGGACAGGGAAGATGGTCAGAATTGATGGGAAGATGGATGGGGCCAAATACAGGACCATTCTGGAAGAAAACCTGTTTGAGTCTTCAAGAGACCTGAGACTGGGACAGAGATTTATCTTCCAACAAGACAATGATCCAAAACATAAAGCCAAATCTACAATGGAATGGTTCACAAATAAACGTATCCAGGTATTGGAATGGCCAAGCCAAAGTCCAGACCTGAATCCAACTGAGAATCTGTGGAAAGAGCTGAAGACTGCTGTTCACAAACTCTCTCCATCCAACCTCACTGAGCTCGAGCTGTTTTGCAGGAAGAATGGGCAAGAATTTCAGTCTCTCCATGTGCAAAACTGATAGAGACAAACCCCAAGAGACTTGTAGCTGGAACTGCAGCAAAAGGCGGCGCTACAAAGTATTAATGCAAGGGGGTCGAATAATATTGCACGCCCCACTTTTCAGTTTTTTATTTGTTAAAAAAGTTCGACACATCCAATAAAATTCATTCCACTTCACGATTGTGTCCCACTTGTTGATTTCTCACAAAAAAGTTTTTTTATATCTATGTTTGAAGTCTGAAATGTGGCAAAAGGTTGAAAAGTTCAAGGGGGCCGAATACTTTCACAAGGCACTGTAGAGACAAACGAGACAAACAACCATTCTCTCTCTCGCTCACACCTAGGGACAATTTAGAGTTACCAGTCAGTCTAACATGCATGTTTTTGGTCTGTGGGAGGAAACTGGAGTACCCCGGAGAAAACCCACGCATGTACAGAGAGAACATGCAAACTCCACCCAGAAAGGTCCCCGGCTGGGATTTGAACCGGGGCGACATGCTCGCTGAGAGGCAGCAGCTCTACCAACTGCACCACCGTGCTGCCCATGATGGCTGCCGAAGGAATTAATTTTAGTTAACACAAAAATAGCTAGAGCTCAGATCTGACCAAAGCGCAATAGTTCTGTCCCTTCTCATCCTAAAATGATCTTAGTGTGAATCTCTGTCATGAAAGACAACAGACAATGTGCGTTCCTTCAAGAAATGCCTTTAATTTTCAAGATGTTCTGCTGTGAAAACCATCTGTATCGGCCATGTTACTTCCATTGTTCCAACAATTTTATCATTTAAGGTGAATTTTTTCATTTCATTAGCATTCCTGACAAAAGAAATATCATCCTACAACAATGACACATTTATTTCTTAACATATACTGTCAAATCAACACAAATGACCAAAACAGCCCAAACTCCTGACAAGCACCCTTCAAAATGTCATTAATTTGATCAGGAGTTTGTTGATCATTACGATTTGTGGATTACTTCAAGAAAAACATGTTATCAGGAAGAATTGCTGCAATAAATTGCATACAATACTTCAGTTAAAAAGAAAATTCTTACACACAATATATCAACAATACCTAAACAAGAGTAAAAAATAATAACACATAAATATTATTACAAAAACACTATTACATTTAAACTTATCTATAGAAAATACACAAACATTTACATTTCATGTTCAAAATGACTGGATGATGTGAAACAAATAGTTCCTTGTTATTATTCTTGCTTTAAATATGTTAAGTCTTTCCTGAAAATGAGACAAAATACTGGTAACATGCCAAATCTAAACAGTAACTAATGATTTGCTGCATTTCTTCCTTCTACATTCAACAGTCCACTGAAAGAAAGCACAAGAAAGTTCTTCAGCAATGACTTTCAAACTTCCTGACAAATAAACAGATATAAAAAGTGCCAAATGTCACTTGCTACATTAAAAATTGGTCTCAACACTCATCGCAATATTTTACATTTCATTTCCTGTTTGGAAAAATATTTTTTTGGGTCTACAAGTATGTTGTTCTTTATATAAAACCTATTTGTGCTGACTTGAATCAAAATGAAACCCAAATGTCCTTCATTGTGTGTTTAGTCCAGGTTTCCCTACATCAGACCTCGAGTCCAGCAGGTGCCTCCACCCTCTCCACCTGCTCATACTGGATAGATCAAACCTGAACGGTCACAAACCACTTTTCTCAACAGCCGAGCAGATTAATAAAAACTTCATGGAGTGTTGCTCTGGCTTAAAGCTGTAAATCCAAGAGTGCTGCGAGTATTTCCTGGAAGGAGGGCCGTTCCTTTGCGTTTCTCCTCCAGCAGCTTAGCATGATCTGGTAAAGCAAGTCTGGGCACAGAACAGGTTGAGGCAGGTAGATCTGCAGAACAACGAGAGAGAAATGAAGCCTGGGACACCTATGGAGCTTTTAAGGAAACAAATGCTTTTATCCATAATCACCTGTCGTTTCTGGTCCCTGAAAAACTCCCCCGTGTTTTCTATCACCTGCTCATCGGTGAGCTGAGAGTAGGGCTGCTCCTTGCAGAAGTTGAGGATTTCCCACAGTGTCACACCAAAGGCCCAAACGTCACTCGCTGTGGTAAACTTACCCTGCACAGGAAAATACACTGAGCACATTTGGAAACGCAGTACGAACAGAAAGTTTAAAAGCAGTCCTCACCAGAAGAATGCTCTCCCACGACATCCACCGTATGGGCAGCACCGCTCGGCCCTGGATGCGGTAATAGTCCCCGCTGTACAAGTTCCTGCTCATGCCAAAGTCAGCAATTTTTATTGTGTAGTTTTTGCCCACCAAGCAGTTGCGTGTGGCTAAATCTCGGTGGACGAACTTCAGAGACGAGAGGTACTTCATTCCAGAGGCTATTTGAGTGGCCATGTGGCACAGATTGCTAAAGCTGAAGAAGAGATGAGAATATATTATTATGAGTGACAATTTGAAGAAAAATAAAAGCCCACTGTGGCCATGTAATATTTCTTCAAGGAATACCATTGTTTGTAGAACAACGAGAGAGAAATGAAGCCTATGTGCATTCCTACAAGCATTACTTGAAAGAATGCACATAGGTTGCAGCTTGTTATGTTGCATGTAAAGAGACTGGAAGGTGGAAACTTAGAATGACATCCTCCTTCTGTTGTGAGAGATAGCACCTATGTGGTGTGGTCGTGGACTTCCGACAGAACAAACACACCTACCCCCACTGAATATAAGAGGATCTGCGGTGGAAGTGGTCTCCAGCTACAAGTACTTGGGTGTGCACATGAATGACAACCTCAGCTGGGACAACAAAACTACCAGCCTGATCTAGAAAGTTCATCAGAGACTCTACTTCCTCAGACGACTGAGACGAGCTGGACTGGGAAGCTCAGTCCTCACCTCCTTCTACAGGTGTGCAGTGGAGAGCATCCTGTGCTCCAGCATCAATGTGTGGCATGGAGGCTGCACAGCTGCAGAAAGAAAAGCTTTGCAGAGAGTGGTGAAGGCTGCACAGAAGTCTGTTGGAGTCGGTTTCCCCACCATCAGACATTTACGCCTCCAGATGCAGGAAGAGGGCCACCTGCATCATGAAAGACTCCACTCACCCAGCACACACACTTTTTGCCCCGCTCCCCTCAGGAAGGAGGTTGAGGAGCATTAAGTGTAGAACCACTAGACTGAGGAACAGCTTCTACCCTGAAGCTGTTGGACTCATGAATCTCTAACCAGAATAATCACTGTAATGCTACTTTAATTGGTGATTCTAATAATTATCCACGCTGCTGATTATTTCATGCTGCTGTATTCATTTGTACTCATCTACTCACACAGACTCATGTTCGTGCTGCTGTTGTTCAGCGTTTTGTTTTGCATTATTAGTGTTTAGCGTATATCTTAGTTTATATCTTAGATTTTTATTTACCGTTTTCTTTAACAATTTATAGTTTTGCTATTTTTTTTTATGTAACTGGGATCCTGTGTACACAATTTTTCATTCAACCTTTATTTAAACAGATAAATCACATTGAGCCTCGAAGACTCATTTACAAGTGAGACCTGTTTGGACAGACAAAAATAGTGGTTAACTAGACACATGTAGGAGTTGGAGGTTAAAAAAATTCCTATCAGACTTTTTTCTTGGCTGAGAAAAACCTCTAATATTGAAAAAACACCTCGCACAAACAAGCACTTATTTACGTAGACATTCTGCATCAGAGACGAGAGCGGTCAACAACGCTTATAGATGCTCTCGAGGGCACTGTAATCAGTCAATGTCCTCCGGTGAGATCCATAAACATTCTCGAGGTATGTCGAGAAATGGCCAAGAATAACCTCTGTGAGAATCCAAGAGTCCTGAAATGATGATACAAAGTTTATTCAGCTGGCTCATCTGGTTATCAGTTGGAAATTCCTCAGGGAGGGGGTGGTGAGCATCAGATCACATGTTCTCCAGGCGACTTTAGATAAGGTGGCCTTCAAGGACAGCCAAGGCGACCAAAATTTAGATAAACACACAGTTGTTTTGGGGACAGGCAGAACTTAATAACATCAACCTTGAGTCTGTGTTGGTCCACTTGGTTCTGAAATGTCCAAATCAACATGGCCACACCGATGGAACGTGACTGAGTAAAAACCCCCAAGATCTGATCCATTCAGCCCAAAGCATTTGAGTCCAGGTACTCCAGACATGAACCAAGCCATCATAAAGGCAAGCAGCGTGATCGGGTCCAAATTTGCTGCTGACGACTTCCTTGATTGTAGATAAAACCAGCACTAGCTGAATCCAAAAAGCAGGAACCAGTTATCGTGAATCCAATTAAATATGCGTCCTTAAAATCCACAGATGGCAGCAGAGATAGACACATCATCAAGTTTTCCAGTCGATGAGATATCCAGCTGCGTACGTGCCAACAGGGTAAATCGGCTCGCCCAAAGCCTGCCTTCTCTTCAAAGAAATGTTGTAAATTGAGTTGAGGGACCAACTGGTCAAAACAAGTCCATAATTATGGTTCGGAAGAAATGCAAGAGAGTCTCACAGCAATTTCACAGACAGAGCAGCAAAGCAAAGCGGAGAGGGAGGGAGGGAGAGAAGCATCCGATCTCATGGGGAGCGAGTGGTGAATTTCGTTCCACCTCATGTACCACATGTGATGAGAATGACAATAAAACCTACTTGAACTTGAACATCAAATGGAAAGATGAACAAAAGTCAACCCTTTAAATGATGAAGCCCTCAGAACCACTGCAGACCTGCCAAGACTGCTTATGGAAATGTGCAGAGTCAAAGTCTGATCCTAAACCAATCCATTAAAAATATGAACTTTGGGCTCATTTTTTTCTAACACAACCTGGATGAGAACATCATTGTATTCCTATATGGGTCAACAGGTACTGCCTGGACCCATGACCATGAATCCTCCCCCACACAATCGGGTTTCTCCTGCAAGACATGAAGCCATAGATCCTGGGGACCATCAGTTTCAATCAGTGAGAGATAGAGACTGGAGATAAGAGACTGAGGAATACAAAAGACCTTTCTGTGACTGTTCTGCATATTCATAAGAAGGAGGCAGGTTTGAGTTGATCCATTTTGTCATAACCATGAAAATGTGGAGTCTGAAAGTTTTAGCTTTGTTACTAGTAGTGTTGTGTTCAAGACCGCCTAACCTGAGACCAAGTCAAGACCAAGACCAGAGTGTACCGAGACCAAGACAAGACCAAGACTTTTAGGGTCCGAGACCAAGTCAAGACCAAGACCTCAAATAAAATAAATGAAATGTAAAATTCTATTATTACATATTTTTATAACTTTTTTCAGCTTTTATAAATTTTCAAAGCTACATAAGGAAATCAGACATTCAGCAGCCTAACTTCATGTGATGCAACAATAAAATTACACAAATGTTAAATTGGAAGCAGTTTCATCACATGCCAAGTCTTAAAAAAACTGCAGTGGCAAAACACTCTTCATAAGTCCAAACTCAAGACCAAAGATAACCATATAGTTGCATTAGTTACAAGTATATTCTTTGTGATTTAAATAGCCAAATTTTATAACTGATGATATGTCAGACATCTTCTCCCACGCCAGACAATCACTTCTCATTTTCTTGGAGTGACCAGTGTTGCCAGATAGAGTCTAGGTTTTTCAGCCCAAAAATCTGTTAAAAACTGCCATATACGACAAAAATCTGCCCAGTCAATATATTGTTACTGTATATTTACTGTTTGAACATGAACACACATCAGTACAAGCCAAGGTAATTTAACAATATGTGGCAAAATGCAACAATCCAACAAAAATCGTCCCAGAGTTCCCAGCAAAATCAAAATGAAAACCACCCAATTGGCAGTAAACTGCTCAATCTGGCCACACTGGGAGTGACACGTGCGAGTGAAAGGGGGTGGGTGTGACAGCGGTAACAAAAAATGTATTTAGCAATGAGTCACATTATCACTTGGCTTTAAAGCAGTATGTTTTGTATCCAATAAAAACAAACTGGACAATACTCGTGGTCTTGGCTGATTTTGAAATAAAATCCAGAGTCCTCAATGTCTGAGACCGAGAAAAGACCGAGACCATCAAAAAGTGGTCTTGAGACCGATCTCAAGCACTACAACACTACCTCCTAGTCATAAACAAGAGATTATTTAAATCAGTGGTTCCTAACCCTGGTCCTTGAGGGACACCATACTGCATGTTTTAGTTGTTTCTCTGTCCAACACACCTGATTCAGTGATTTAATTACTTCCTCAAGTTCTGCAGAAGCCTGTTAATCACCCATTCATTCAAATCAGCTGTGTTGGAGCAGGGAAACAACTAAAACATGCAGTATGGTGTTCCTCAGGGACCAGGGTTGGGAATCACTGATTTAAATCACAAACAGAAAAGGGATTTTTGGCTGCAGATTATACTTGCTTAGGACACTTGAATTCATTCTAGTCACAGTTAGATTAAATGGGGGCAGCTGTGGCTGAGTGGTTAGAGCAGTCGTCCTCAAATGGGAGAGTTGGGGGTTCGATTCCACCAGCAGTTACATGCCAAAGTGTCCCTGGGCAAGACACTGAACCCCTCATTGGCTCTGATGTGTGTCCCATTGCTGTATGAATGTGATCTAAAAGCACTGATTAGTCTCTACAGATTGAGATTATCTTTGTAGAGCTCTAGTAGAGTGCTGTATGAATGTGTGTGTGGAGGTAAATGGGGGCACAGATTGTTTTGTAAAGAACTTTGAGTATCTTTATTAGATAGAAAGGTGCTATATAAGTACAGTCAATTTTTCATTTAGATTTATTTTCCATTTATTTTTTAGATTTTTACAAAAACACGCAACTTGTAACCTGCACATGATTCTTTAAAATAATATTTTTTTACGTTTAATAATGTTTGCCTGTAAGCACTCACCATAAAAAAAAAAGACTCCAGTGTGTCTTCCTACATCTGTGGTAAGTTTATTTTCAATATTTAACACACTGATTATGACTGTATATGACAAAAAATAAAAATAAAAAATCCCAAACTGAGTTAAAGATCAACCAATCTCTAAACTCTGCATTCTCTCTAACGTTTTAGAAAAACTGCTAAACTCTCAAGTCAAGGTATTTGGATTCTTTTAACATCTTAGCTCCCCATCAATCTGGCTTCAGGAAACGACACAGCACGACTGCTTCACAGTTGTTTTCAAACACAAAGTCGGTACCAGCAGTCCATCCTCCTACCTTATCTACGAATGGTGTTCCTATTTAGGTTGTGGATTAGAAATACTTGGGAATCTTGGTCAATGCACATCTCCCTTTTAAACCACCTATCGAAAACTTGGTAAAGAAACTGAAAGTTAAATTTTGTTTGTTTTTCAGAAATATATCCTACCATACCATACCGTACCATACCATACCATACCATACCATACCATACCATACCATACCATACCACTTTATTTATAAAGCACTTAAAACAGCTACAAGGCCAACCAAAGTGCTGTACAGACAAACAACAGGTAACACACCAAGCAAAATACAAAATGAGGTAAATCAGAATATAGACAAAAAACGATGCAGATAATGACGACAAACCAGTGTGGAGCATACAGGATCAAAACACAGATCATCTTGTGTTGAAAGCCTCCGAATAATAATGAGTTTTTAAACAGGACTTGAAAACCGAGAGGGAGGGGGCCTGTCTGACAAGCAGAGGCCCCAAGCAGAGACAAGCATCCTGTCTAACTCTGAATGCTAGGAAACACCTTGTAACTGCGACTTTCCTTCCCTCCATTGATTATGGTGACATTATTATCATGAACACTCCTACAAGCACCCTGCTAATGTTGGACACCGTCTGTCATGGTGCGCTAAGATTCATAACTGGCTGTAACTACCGTACCCACCACTGCACCCTGTATTCACTGGTTAACTGGACATCATTAACTTCACGCAGACTCTCTCACTGGTACATTTTCATCTTTAAATCACTTCTTGGTCTGCTGCCTTCATGCATCTCCTACATGTCACATCGTCAGTGCAGTTACAGCGTGCACTCTCAGGACATCATTACCTGCAGTGTTCCCTCAGTGAGGACTGAACTAGGCAAAAGGGCCTTCTCCTATTCCGCTCCTGTTTCCTGGAATGTCTTACAAAAAGATCTGAAGCTCTCGACCTTGACCTCTCTAAGGGATTTTCAACTATTGTTAAATTCATGGCAAAACCAATGCAGACATGTTCCTGTTTTTAGTTTTTTTAAATCTTGTTTCATAATGTAGCTAGTTTTTAATTTTGTTTTTATCGCTACTTTTATTTACTTTTCATTTATGCGCATTTTATGGCTCTTTATTGTTGTTTGTAACTCATCTGTGTTCTTTGTTTGAATCAGGTCTCTCTTGTAAATGAGTTCTTGTGACTCATTGAGACTAACCTGTATAAATAAAGGTTGAATGAATATTGTACTTTCACAAGCTGTTGGTGCTTGTGTTGGGAATCTGTTGGCTACTACCCCACAAAGTTTAGCTCAGTGTCTTGTAAAACTGACCGAGTTGGAGACTTTTTTGTGTGCGACGAGATTTGCTGTGGCCGCCATCTTAAATTAGGTTGACTCTTGTAGATGCACATCCACTGATGACTTTCTGAGTTTCATTAAAATCTGTTACGGACAAACTTTACTGCCCCAACTTTTGGTAGCGGATGATAAAAGGTTAAACAAAGCGGGTTCTCACTGACCTGACAGTAGGTGTGTCACTGAGCAGAGCAAGCTGTCCTTCTGGTTCATGACGGGACAGAAACTGGTTGAGATCTCCATTTTCCATGTACTCTGTAATCATACAGAGGGGGTCGCTGTAGATGCACACGGCCAGCAGACGAATGATATTGGGGTCCTTTAAACGTGACATTATCTTTATCTCTTTAAGGAAGTCATTCCTGGGAAAAAATAAAAACAATCCGCAACAGTTTAGGCTGCGTGTTGAACTGATTTTCTGTTTTCTCTCTAATTTCAGCTCTGATCACAAAAGCAGCTCGCCTTGCGTTCTTGCTGGCGTCTGAACGGAGCATCTTCACAGCCACTAAGACCGGCTGGTCCTTGGGGACGTCAAATGAATACTCTTCGTTCATAAATTCCTGCATTCCCTCTGCTTCACACAGGTGTACCTAAACCAGGGAGGAAAGTACGAGCTCCGACTAGTGTTTTCACTTTAAATCTAAAACAGCAGCGGAGAAGAACACACACCTCTCCAAACTGGCCCTCTCCCAGCTTCTCTTTAAATATGAGCAGCTTTCTGGGGAACTCCTCCACAGCAACATCCTTCCCAGACAGCAGGTCCATAGTCACAGCAGGGATCACATACGTGTTGCTTCCAGTGACACCCTGCAAGTTGACGATGTCTGCCTCTGCATAGTGAGGGGCGCCATCTTGGGCTGCACCTGTAGGGTTGGATTTGGATGCTCCTGTGCTGGTTGAAGCTGAAATACAACATGATGCACTGTAACTGTACAAGTACAACAAAAAGATTTTCTGTAAAACAGATGTGTGTGTGTGTGGTTGAGCATACCGGGTTCTTCTAAGCTCTGTGCGAACTCTGGGAGCTTACATATGAGGCGTGATGGCTCCTGGTAGTCTGGACCAAGTGGGAAGATGCGCTCATATGCAGAATTAGACTCCTGGTCGTTGGCTGTATCCGACCGGTTGGGATTAAGCACAAAAGTCTCACTCTGTATTGATAAGCTAGCAGTTAGTTCATCATCTAGCATCCTACGAGAAGCCTAAAATAAAGACAGAGGTGAAATAAATTGGACTTTGTCCCAGAGAAAAACTTAAAACGTGAATGCACAAATTGTATAAGAACAGACTATTGCTGATGTGAAGCCGAGAGAAAACAAAGGAATGAGCTCACCTTCTCCATCATCTTTTGCCACACCTGCCTCCACAGGATGATGACAATAATGGCCACAAGGATGAAGATGATGGCCACTAAGCAGCCAATCAGAATCCGAGTGTTGCTGTCATCCAGCTTATGTGTGGGGTCGTCTTCTGGGAAGGGATGTGGAGAGACGCCTGTTGAAGATATTCAAGAGACTGTTCACTTTACGCACATGTGGGAGCCGGGCTTCCTGCTTAAATACATTTGTTGACTATTTAATGGCTTCACTTCTTGCAAAATGTGCGTAGATAGTTTTTATGGCAGCCAACACTGTTACATAAACACTCATTGTTAGTTGCACGTCAGTAAAGTGATAGCGCAGATATTTTGAAGTATGCATGTTGAATATCTTACTCCTCTAGATATCCTTTTTGTCAGACTTCAGTTTGGAGCGAGAGTTTAATTCTGACTGGAATGTTGTATTATCAGCTGCTCTGAGCAGGGACAAGATTAAAGTGAACTGGTTCTGTCAAAACAACTTCAATCTCACAGATGTCTTAAAAGTCAAGAGCCACAGGCCAAATCTGGTTCAAAGTTCAGTCAGGTCACCTGGACAGTTTCTTTTTTTGTTGTTGTTGTTGAAATGTTTCATCCTTCATCCAAAGGGCTTCATCAGTCCGAGGAGCTGCAACAAACTCAGTCCCACAAGCAGCACACTAACATAGTGGACCAACCAGTTTGCTGGTGATAAGATGGTTTCTGGGGCCTGACCTCTCTCCCACAAACTACTCTGAGGCAGCATTAGCCAAAGTGGTTCAAAACATCAAAGTTCATGAAAAAGGGTTGTAAGCTCAATCATCCAGGTAGATAACAACAAAAAAGGTTAAATCTTGTCTTATCAAAGTTCATGCTCAATAATCCAGGTAAAAAATCCAACAAAGTTCAAGTTCAGTCAGGTCATCAGAACTTTTTTTTAGATGTTTCGTCCTTCAGCCAAAGGACTTCATCAGTCTGAAGAACGTGGATTTACCTGGATTACTGATGGATGATGAAGCATGAACTTCAATGATGCATGAACTTTGATGTTTTGATCCACTTTGACTATGGCTGCCTCAGAGGAGTCAACGGGGTAGAGGTCAGGCCCCAGAAACCACTTTATCACCAGCAAACTGGTTCGTCTACTATGTGAGTGTGTTGCTTGTGGGACTGAGTTTGTTGTGGCTCCTCAGACTGAAGACGTCCTTTGGATGAAGGACGAAACGTTAAAAAAAAAGAAACCATCCAGATGATGTGACTGAACTTTGTTGGATTTATAACCTGGATTATTGAGCATGAACTTTGATGTTGAGAAAAAGGTTTTAGTCCAGAGCAACAAAAACTCTCTCTTCTTTTCATCTTACTGTATTTTTCTTCATCTACTGTTTTGAATGTGTGCGCTCACAATGATTGCTATGCTCTCATAAGCCAAGTGAAGAAAAGTTTCATTCAGTTGTCATGGAAGTGTAATGTCTTACAAGTTGTAAGTAGATAGTAACAATGTGTGTTTAGGATTTAACCCCTCACCTGTGTTTGCTGGAATTGCAGTCCAGGGTGGAACCAGCGTTGTGTTGTACATGGCCGTGTCTGAAACAAACCAGAACAAGAAACGATCTAACCAAACTCCAGACGAAATACAGTTTATAAATATGTACAGTGTGTACCTGACTGGAAGGTGATCTCACTGAACAGCATCCACGCATCAGCAAAGTAGAACTGGCACTTGATGGCACTGGCCATGTGATTGGCCAGGTTGATGGAGACAAATCGAGCGCTTGGGTTCCTCTCGTCTCCCACGGGTCTGAAAGAGAGTGGTGTGGTTTCCCAGTCTGAATCGGAGCGGAAGTAACAAACCACTTGTCTGAAGGCCTTGACATGGCGGGAGTACATGTTGTTGCAGTGAACCTGTGCACATGTGGATAGTGTAAGTATAGGGGGTGGGGTGGGGGAATCATCTTGCTTTCTTTGGAATCTCACCTTCATGGAGGTAAAGTTTCGTATACGGTCAAACTCAAACATGATTTCAACAAATCCATCGGGGAAGCTCTCGTTGTTCCAGCCCACGTAGTCGTACCCTGGCCACCCATTGTGGATGTGACTTAGAGTGAAGTCATCTTCACCACACACCCCATCAGTCAGCTGGCCCAAACCTTCTGTCATACTGACACACAAAGCAGCAAAACATTGGAGCATTACTGGCCAAAGGTTTTATTTTCAGCCACAAGGTGGGGGCATTTACCAGCAAATGTCCTCTAGCTTTTGGTTCTAATGTTCTGTAAGTTTTTTCCTACAACGAATTGTTCCTTTGAGAAGTGTCTTTTTGTCCTGGAAGTCATTATTCGCATGATTTTACCCAAACTTAACAAATCCCCTGACTTGTTCTTTTTGGTTTAGAAAATTTACGACTGCTTGGTCAGTCATTCCCGGGAAACTATTCCCAACAGAAACAGCCTGAACCCACTTACCACTCTGGTGCGTTTCTGTGTTTTTGCTATGGTGACAGCAAAACAGCACTGCGAAGGAGAAGAAGCACAGATGCCAGACAAGAAACAAACCAACCCAACGTAGTAAGAAGACATGAATTATTCACACACCTGTGGATAATAGCTCCATCATAGACAGAGTCGTTGAGATAAACGGGATAAGCAGGCAGGTTCATTTGTTGTCCGACAGGAACGTTGTATGAAACAAGACCGTCTGTGAACATACGGGAATGCTTCATTTTCATCAAGAGGACTTTGTCACTATCTCCTGCACATTGGCAGAAAACAATGGAAACAAAACATTGTTTAAAACTGTAAAGTACAGAGTCACTAAGTGTTTTCAGTCGCTAAAACTGACCTAAGGCATAATAAAGGGCAACTCAAATAAAACCTTTTCTATTAATGTTGTTTCTTCCAAGATTTAAAAGAATATATAAGAATTTTATCTTTCTCTACTGAATGTGTTCAAAAAGTCCACGTGCAAAAACCACCAGGAATCAGTCTGCATGATCTTTAGTTACTGGCAGATGATTTTAGGTCAGAGGTCATAAAGAGAGGAGTCCCGTTGATCCTACAGATCATTACTTTTTGTTTTTGCCAAGTATAAATAGTTTCATTAAACTATCTAAGTGGTTTTATGTTTGTTTGTTTTTTGAACATGGTACAACTGCCGTAATGTAATTGTAGTAATAAAGAGAATATATCTAAAATTGTTCTGACCACAGAAAAAAGGTCAGACTTTAAAAGTAATTTATTTAGCTGTTATTTAAAAGAACAAGGGCAACTGTAAAAAACGATCAGAGATTTTTCTGTTCATTCGTCACCTAATTGGATCTTGTGTTTTGAAGGGCTCTACCGAGTTCATCTGGCAATTAAAACTGAGTTTGAACACTTTAACTGTTTATTCAGTTATCGTCATCACTAGTAAACCAGAACGATGAACGTATCGGATGTAAAAACAGTCATGTACACACAATAAAAGATGTTAACGCTGCTGATTTAAGGAAGATCAGCCTAAGTGAGGGATTTTAAATTCAGTTCTGCTTCAAGATCTCATAAAACGTTCAGATGGCTTCAGTTCCTGGAAGTTCAAAGTGTTTTAAACACCTTTATACGTCTTACAGCATCACGCACACAATGCAGTCTTCCTGATGAACTGTTTTGCTGGACAGATGTTTCTCAAAACTCTGTTTCCATCTGTGTTTCTTCGTGGATCTTAAACCTTTTTGGTGTAAAAAAACGTTTGTTTTTTTTGCTGTAAATGTACAAAACCTCACTGAACACTATTGTCTGATAATGCATCTTGTAATTTGAGTTAGATTTAAGTGTGAGACTGAGCACGAATCTAGAAGATTAAAGACAGATGTTCTTTATTGTTTCCACTGTTTTTACAGTGTAATGGGGTGACTGGTCACAGTGGCGGTGTCAGAATTAATGGATTTTTTGTGACTTGTTGTTAATTCGTTCATATTTTCCTTGTGATTGTTTTGTTTTCTGTATCTTGGGATTCTTCTTGGAGCCCTGTGTTTTTACCTATCGGTCTATATTTTATGTTTCCTGAGCCATTTCTCATTCACCCTCAGTAATTTTCCAGTCAGCCTGTCCCCAGTTAGCAATCAATTGAGGTGCTTCAACTTTCCATTCACCTCTGTCCCATATAGTTGGTTTTTGTCCCAGTACTCAGCAGCAGTGGATTACTGGCTCTCTTGCCACAAGCGCTGGCCTCCTACGTGCTCTTTGTGTTTGTTCTCTGTGTGGCCCTCGGATTTGAAGTTGTGCTGCCACGTCAGCTCTTTTGTGTGTGTTTTTTTAAATAAAGTATATGTATCTTTAGTTGTTTCTTTAGTTGTTCGTGCTGTAGTTCAGCGTATTGTTTTTGTATTATTAGTGTTTAGTGTATTCTTTGTTTAGCGTATTTCTTAGTTCATATCTTAGCTCTTATTACTGTTTTTCTTTACAATTTTTACTTTTGTTGGATGTAACTGGGAACCTGTGCACAATTTTGTTCCACCACATGCACCACATGTGGTGCGTATGACAATAAAGAACTTTGACTTGACTTTACTGGACATCTTGGGGCTTCCTGTGTCAATCTGTATTTTGTTTCCATTCCTTCTACCTATTTTGAAAGCTACAAACCAGTATTCCCTTTCCTCTCCCCACAAAATAATAAAATAATAATAATAAATAAATAAACCATCTTACCCAGCCATTCGCAGCCATAAAGCTCCACTCTCATGCAGACATTCATGGAGTGGTCTATCACCGGCATAAAGCGAACCAAGCGAGCGATGATGGGCGGCTGCAAGTCCCTGAGAGCAATGTCATAGGTGTTCCTGTTCCCTTCAATCACCTGCAAGACAAACGTACATCAAGCCACAACAAGTGAGAGCAATCGTTGGCCAAAAAATCCTTTACAAGCAGTTGATTTTTGATGGACGTTGGTTGGGAGGGTGCAGACATCACCTGTCTTCCCTGCCTGTTTCTCCAGGAAATCCAGCGACTGCCATCACGGCTGTACTTGAGCTTGTACGTCTGGGCAAACTCGTTGCCCATTCCCCCGGCGTGACGACCCTGGGTGCCCACAAGGGTGATGAAGTGGAGTGAGCGCAGGTCAATCTGGAGGAACTCCTTCAGCTGGTCTGGTTCCACTGTTATTTCTGGACACCAGGCACCGTCACCCTCCTCATAGTCCAGTCTTGGGGGTGGGGAGGGAAAAGGAAAGGGTCGGTGTAAAGTGGGTGGATGTTCACTTTAGAATTTACAGCAGGAAAGAAAACTTGAAAAGTAGTAAAGGAAAACCTGTGACAGGATAAAAAGGGGAAAAACTTTATTGCAAGTGGTGATTCAGGGTAAGAAGGACTGAAATTACAACCAGGTCAGAAGGAGAAACAGTATTAGATCATTATTCTGATCATGTGAGGGCCACCAAGCTTCCACTGACACACACACACCCTTCTGTAATTGTGTGGCTGCAAGTAGAACTATATTACACTGATTTGTCATTTACTTCAAATAAAACAGGCACAGCAGACGAAATTACCCACTCATCGTGATCATGGTAAACATCTTATGGACTATGATTTATCAGACGCACCTGCTGTATCTGGCAGCTGTGGATTCAGACCACTGGCTCGATGCAGAGATGTCCTCATCTGGTATCTGCCCGCTTGACATGCCCAGAGCGTACCGACACACACCTGAGACATAAAAGGCAGTGTGTGTGTGTGTGTGGCGAAGATAAGCAGACACACTGGTAGACTACTAAAACATCCAGGAAAGTACATTATAAAAGGAATTTCTAAAATAATCTATATTGCATTCTAATTTAATTGAGTGGTAATTAATTTTTTTAAACTAAAATCTAGGAATGCACGATATTGGATTTTTGGCCGATATCCGATGTGCCGACATGTTAAAACTTATTTGGCCGATAACAGATAGTGATACCAATACTGATATCTTCCCCTAGACCTCCTTACAGAGACTACATAACTTTCTCTGCTGTGGACTTAAAATACTACATTATTCTGCATGATCTTTGTCAGTTTGGCCTGCAACCAAATGCAGATGCCAAAAATGGGGCTGAAAATGATGTAACACTTCAACTTGGATTATGTTTAATGTCACATTTATTCTTGACATTTACTCTCTCTAACACAACGACAACACTTGAACAGTGCAAATTTGTAAAATTTCACAGATCTAAACTCAACCTGTTCACAAGCAACAAGTGAAAGTGCACAAGTAGTAGTGCATTATTAGATATACTTGACAGTTTCTTTAATGAAAAATTAACTTAAAACGGAAGCCTTTTATATCGGTGAGATTTTTAGATGGAATGGCCGATGTCTGATATTTAACTTTATCGCCAGTATCGGACGATACGATACCATGCTGATAATATCGTGCATTCCTAAAAAAAACACTTATTACCTGATATAAAATTCACCGAGTTCAAGATGTTGAATTGTTGTAAAACTTTATTTACTCATTATAGTGGATTCAAAGTGTGAGGTAGTGTAGAAGAGTTGGCCATTAAATGAGCAAATATACATTAGAAAGCATTTATGATCAAATAGATTCACAGCAGATCTGTCCCTGTCAGATAACCAGAAACAGCTCACAGATATTTTGTAGTTTTACAAGTTTCGTTTTAATTCAAGATCCACATTTATGTATCTAACAGCAGGTACATGAGTTATGGTGCAAAGCTGATGTGATTAAAGCAAACAGTTCAACACCAAAACTCAAGTGAGTTTGTATTTTTTAATTTAAGGATAAAAGTAGAAACAAGATTACATGAGCTAAACTTAACTAAATATTACTAAGTTCATAATTAATGATGTTTTAAACTTCAAGTTCAGTCAAACTCAGAACAAAATGTCTCTGAAAAACTGATCAAATATTAATTTTCACCTTTAATATGAATAGGATTTATGCACAAGGCCATGGGACGTTGTGCAGCTCCCCCTGATGAATACATATGTCAGGATCTAACATCTGCATCTGCTCTTTGTTGGGTCGTTGGTTGTCTTTTGTGATTTATTAGGTTTATTCATTGTTCTGTGATTCTAGAGTTCAGATGTTTTCTCGGAGCCCTTATTCACTCCTCCTCAGTTTTCTCCTCCACTCGGTCAGACCATCGTCACGCCAACTTCCACCTGTTCCCAGTCAATATTCAGCTCAGGTGTCTCCCCTTGTTCATCAGCCTGTTCCAGATGTTCAGTCTGTTGTCTTCCACACATCAGCAGAGCATTGTTTGTTTTTACGCCTCATTCTGGCCCTTGTGTCTCCTCATGCTCCTTGTGATCCTCCTCAGTTCTAAGTTTTGCTGCCTTGACAGCTTTGGGTTTAGTCAGAAAATAAAGTTTTTAGTCATTTCCTTTAAGCTCCTTCGGTGTTACTTTTGCTCATCTGGTTGCAAAACTGCACAACCAAAATAAAAAGGAGCCAAATCATCATTATTATAATTATTTTTTACTATTGTCTTTCTAAAATTTAGAGCATAGTTTGTTCAGATATGTACTTCTAGTGTGTATTTCACTACAAATACATCCATCCATCCATTATCTTTACCCTCTTCTTCCATTTTGGGTGACGGGGGTCGCTGGTGCCCATGTCCAGCAGTCATTGTGCGAGGGGCGGGGTACACCCTGGACAGGTCGCAAGTCCATCACAAGTCCACATAGAGACAAACAAGACAAACAACCATTCACTCTCTCTACAAATACAGTATTTGGTCATTAATAGTGTTGATTTGGGTGTTATGGGTCATATGAATTTATATGCACTCACAGCAGCCCCCCACTGAACCACAGTCCTACGATACTTTTGGAAGCTGTCGTATCATCCAGAAAATGATGACAAGAGACAATGAACCAAAATTATAAAGCAAAAATCAAATTTACCACAAATCTGTTATTTGCTTGTTAAACGTACATTTTTGCTTTGGAATATTTGTAAGAGCAAAGTGCAGTCATGAAATAAAATACCTACAAATAACTTCTCTCTCTTAAAGGGACAAATAAGGGAGTCTTCTTTAAAGCTCGATTTTTGTTCTTGTACTCTTTCAATTTTGTACGTCCAGTTTTTAAGTTACGTTTTTACGAAAAATAAAATTTTCACCAACATCAGTTTCGACAAAAAAGGGTTATATTAGGTCTTCAGTGCCAAACTAGTCTGTATAATCTGAACTAGAGCAAGACCACAGAGCATTTCTGCTCTTTTAGTGCCGTCGGTCCAGAATGCTGCACGTCCCTTTCCAAAATCTGAGGTCTTTTGGGAAAAACATCTGAAAGTGAAACGGACTAATTGTAAGAACAGAAAGCTGTAGAGACTGAGGGAGGTTGTGATGGAGTGGAGATTTGATGCAATCTGCTGGCTTCCTTAAATTAAAGTTGTTATAAGACGGCCGTGACCCACTTTGGTCCAAGCTGATAGCACTTCTCTCCAGTCAGAGGTAAACTCGGTTTCACAAAACAGAGCTATCTAAAACAGAGAGGATGGATGGACGGCTACTTTATTGATCCTTTGCAAGAAATTATAGGATCACAGCAGCAGAAGTCATCTCACACATCAACAAGTTCAATACGAAAATATTAATTCTAAAATATTAAAACCAAAAATTGTCTCTATGTGTCCCTGTGCTGGACTTGAGACCTGTCCAGGGTGTCCCCCACCTCTCACACAGTGATGGCTGGACATGAGCACCAGTGACTCCCGCGACCTGAAAAGGGGATAAAGATGGATAGATGCACTAATACTAAAAGAATAAATAAATAAAAATAAAAAAGGATTAAAAATAATGCATAAATATGCACTAAACCAAAAGAGGGCCACTTTCAGTACACGTCTTCATCGCTCATTACAGAGCTGGATGGCAGGAAACACTTAGGGTAATGTTCTGGCGTGAACTTTGGTGCAAGCAGCCGGCACCTGAAGGAGCTCTGATGAAACACCTCCCGGGCACCAAGTAGGTGCTTGTTGTTGCTCATAATGGCTTTTTTTAGATAGTGTACATATTATAAGATATTACTTGCCAACCTTTCCATATGTCCCTACTTCAAAAGATCTAAACTAAATAATTGGTGATTATTGATTTTCTTTACTTGAGCTCATTAAGACAGTAAAGTCTGGGATTTGTGAGCGTGACAGTCAAATTATTAATTTTTACAGGATTAAAAATAAGCGTCAAAAGAGTAACAAACCCCTTTCATATCTTGAGGCTTAAAGGATATATTCACTGCAATATGCAATCCCATTTATGAATAAAAGATTATTTGAGACCGCTTATTTCACTGCATGTGCATTTGATAACAATAACTGGGGTGGATGTGTGGCCCCGTTAGCCCAGACCCTTGTTTTACAGTAAAATTGTGAAAAGTTACAGCAGAGGCTGAGGTCCAAGGCCTTTTCTATCCTTCTCTCTTCCTCCAAATTTTTGCTCTGATTTCAACACATGGAAGAGCCTGAAGTCACAACACAATTCAAGTGTCTGTGCATAGATTTAGGCACATATTTCAGACCAGTACCAGTCATGGAAGCACAAACCGTAGTCAGTGTCATCATGGATTTTGATGTGGAAAGAGCTACAACGAATGTCAAATGAGACTGATCAAAGTCTTACTGATGAACTTGCAGCCAAGAAAAGATGTCGGGCATCTGATGTCATGTGCAGATGATGAGTCTGCTCTAATGATCCTTTTCTGTGTCCTCATTGCATATCAAAATAAAGTGTTTGGATTTAAGTGAAGTTATATTAATTATTTTATTCATTTCATGGATTGGGAAGCAGAACATTACTAAAACATAATAAACAAGTTGTTTATAGAGAGTAAGCCTAAAGAAGTGAATGCAAATTTTTATTCATAAATTTATTTACGTTCCAAACTTTGCATAAAATGTAATAAGGGAAAAGGTAATTTGCATTTATATACAAATAATTTGATATATTACTTCTGAAAACCCGGCTAATTTACATAACATTTGAAAAAAATACTGACTAAGTACTTTGTACTCTAGACTTGGATTAAGTTTAAGTGCAGGAAAATGTATGGATAGGTGGGCAGCACCTCATTTATATTGGATTTATAATTTATATCACTTTTTAAATTTGTAAGGTTTACTTTGTGTAGGCTTTTGATATTCTATTGCAAATTCATTATATTATTGTTAACTTTTTTAATAGATAGTTTCAACGTTTAGTGCCCACGACTGAAAAAACTTGATCTCCACTGAGATTCAACCTGGTTTTTGGTACAACCAAAAGCTGGTCAGATGATCTCAGTACCTGAGAAGGAACATAAGGTTCAAGTAGATCAGAGAGGTATGAGGTTGTAAGACCATTTATGCACTTAAATATCAACAGGAGAATTTTTAAATCTATTCTGATACATACATTAAAATAAATACATAGGGAGACAAATTTCTGTTAAGAGCCGAGCTGAAACATTTTGGACAAGCTGAAGATGTGAAAGGGAGACCTGACTGATCCCAACATAAAGTGCGTTACAGTAATCAAGTCAGATTGTAATGAAGGCATGGACTATTTTTTCAAGGTCAGATCTGGTCAACACTGACTTAAGCTTCGCTATCTGCCTCAACTGGAAGAAGCTTTTCTGCAGAACAGAGTTGACTTGCTTATTAAACTTAATCAAAAGAGTCTAAAACCATAACAAGATTTGTAACAGACTGTTTAAGATATGGCTCAAGAGAGTCAAGGTTAACAGGATGAGTGATAGCACTAGAGCTAGGGCTAAACACAATAACTTCAGTTTTCTGATCATTAAAACTTTAAAAATTTGAAGCTGTCCATGCCTTGATGTCATCAAGACATTTTAACAGAGGGTGAATGGAGCAAGAACTGTTGGGTTTTAAGGGCAGATAAATCTGACAACCAGCACAGCAGTGAAAAGAAAGACCATGTTTCCTCAGGATAGACCCCAAAGGGAGCAGATACAGTGAAAACAGAAGGGGTCCAAGAATTGAGCCCTGTGGAACCCCACAGGAAAGAGGCGTTGAAGCAGATAATATATCACCAACCTTAACACAAAAGCTCCTGTCACCCAGATAAGAACAGAACCACTGTAATGCTGCACCTGTAATCCCAGCATATAGGATACTGTGGTCAACAGTATCAAAAGCAGTGGTAAGGTCCAGGAGTACAAAGATCATGAACTGACAAGAAGCATTTGCTACAAACCCTCAGTAAATCTGTTTCAGTGCTGTGTAATTGTTTAAAACCAGACTGAAAAATCTAAAATATTCCATTCTCATTCAAAAACACATTTAATTGAATAAAAACTATTTTCTCCAATATTTTATAAAGAAAGGGGCATTTTGAGATCGGTCTGAAATTTGAACAAGTTGAAGGGTCAAGTCCAGGTTTTTAATTAATGGATTTACTACTGCATGTTTAAAAACATCAGGAACCAACATTTGTAGCAATGCTGCTATTTATAATATCAAGAACAGAGGGTCCAATAGAGGGAAAAACTTCTTTAAAAACCGATGCAGGGACCTGGTCAGCGGGGGAACCTGAGGGTTTCATATGACCAACAACATCCTTTAAAAATGTGAGAGAAACAGGCTCAGTGTGGCCGAGTGTTGAATTTAAAGTAGCACTGTGGGAAAAATCTTGTTTAGCTTTAACATTGACAGACTTTGATTAATTTAAAGTCATATGGGCTCTTTAATTTAATTTCCCTCCTCTCAACATAAAATGACAATTTAAATTGTGTCATGAAAGAGAGCAGGTAATAAGAAATTCTAGGCCTTTGTTTTGGTTATTTCTTCTATTCATTCATTCCCTCATGGTTGCACTGCGTGGTATTTTCTGTCCTGGTCTGAGCTCATGCCTCTCTACAGTGAAATAAATTTCGCCCACTCAGACGTAAAAATGGGAAAGACAGAGATGGTATAACTCCACTGCCTGGGAATTTTAAATAGGAGGAAAATTGGCATCACTCAACATCTCAGCTCTGCTAAACTATTTCCAGACGGTGGAAAAACGACTCTCTGCTCAACGCAGCAGAACTAAAACTTTTGACTAAGATCTAAGTAAATGCATCTTATTTGAATGTATCAAAGCAGGTTGAGGTGGTCGTCTTTTTTTTTTTATGTGTTAATTTCTAAATATAAAACTCACATCAGTCAGAATACAGCTGCAAAACATCTTCTGGAAAGTAAACTTACTGAACTTATATCAGGAGCACAAGCAGTCCTTTTTTATATAACTTATGAGGGGTCACTTTCAGAGAAACACGCAAAGAGAGAAAAAGACAGATGTTTGAATGGACTTTCCTTCTGTCAAAGTGTCGTGTCTAGTATGCATTAGCCACAGGCTCCAGTGAAATATCTGGATCTACAGCACACGCATGCCCCACCTTCCACACACAAAGAAACAGCGACAATGAGTCAAAAGCTAAAAGGTACAGAGTTAAATACTAAAATATAAGAAATAAATGTGTGCTTTTTTTGCTGAAGAATTAAACAAATTAAAGATCTCACCAGGGGCGATTCCAGAATCTGACCTTTAGGGGGGCTTAGCCCCCAGTGCTGACAGTGGCTCTTGGCTTGAACAACGTGGTGGCCACTGGCTTCAGAAGCATTTGTAATGTGGTGGGGGACACACTGGTGGGGGGTCTGGGGGTCCTGCCCCAGATTTTTTTGAAAAAAGTAGATGCCATTTCCTGCATTCTGGTGTATTTTAACAGGTTGTTAAACATCTACGCTTACCTCCATAAATAAACACTTGATTCAATAACTATTTTAGAGAGCTCGGCACAACAAGAAGTAGCGCTACGCTAGTGGCGTGCAATACAGACACCCTACCTAACCCTACCTAAGATGCTACATAATTGCTATAATAAGATAAGATGCTATAAGATGCTATAATAATTTATTATTATTTATTTTTTATTTTACTTTATTTTTCAGGGGTGCTGGGTTAAAATTTAGGGGTGCTTGAGCAAAAAGAGGCTAAAATCGCTACTGGATCTCACATAGTATAAAATGGTCATAAATGTAGTTATGAACAGACAAATGTAATAATAAAGTGAGTGTTGTCATCATTGTATGTCCCCATACAAAGACAAATTGGCTCTCTGCATTTAACCCATTGCAACTGGGATTAACCCAGGTGGAGCAGTGGGCAGCTACAGTGCCTTGCGAAAGTATTCGGCCTCCTTGAACTTTTCAACCTTTTGCCACATTTCAGGCTTCAAACATAAAGATATAAAATTTTATTTTTTTGTGAAGAATCAACAACAAGTGGGACACAATTGTGAAGTGGAATGAAATTTATTGGATGTGTCAAACTTTTTTAACAAATAAACTGAAAAGTGGGGTGTGCAATATTATTCAGCCCCTTTACTTTCAGTGCAGCGAACTCACTCCAGAAGTTCAGTGAGGATCTATGAATGATCCAATGTTGTCCCAAATGACTGATGATGACAAATAGAATCCACCTGTGTGTAATCAAGTCTCTGTATAAATGCACCTGCTCTGTGATAGTCTCAGGGTTCTGTTCAAAGCACAGAGAGCATCATGAAGACCAAGGAACACGCCAGGCAGGTCCGAGATACTGTTGTGGAGAAGTTTAAAGTCGGATTTGGATACAAAAAGATTTCCCAAGCTGTAAACATCCCAAGGAGCACTGTGCAAGCAATTATATTGAAATGGAAGGAGTATCAGACCACTGCAAATCTACCAAGACCCGGCCGTCCCTCTAAACTTTCATCTCGAACAAGGAGAAGACTGATCAGAGATGCAGCCAAGAGGCCCATGATCACTCTGGATGAACTGCAGAGATCTACAGCTGAGGTGGGAGAGTCTGTCCATAGGACAACAATCAGTCGTACACTGCACAAATCTGGCCTTTATGGAAGAGTGGCAAGAAGAAAGACATTTCTCAAAGATATACATAAAAAGTGTTGTTTAAAGTTTGTCACAAGCACCTGGGAGACACACCACACATGTAGAAGAAGGTGCTCTGGTCAGATGAAACCAAAATCCAACTGTTTGGCCACAATGCAAAACGATATGTTTGGTGTAAAAGCAACACAGCTCATCACACCTCATCACACCATCCCCACTGTCAAACATGGTGGCGGCAGCATCATGGTTTGGGCCTGCTTTTCGTCAGCAGGGACAAGGAAGATGGTCAGAATTGATGGGATGATGGATGGGGCCAAATACAGGACCATTCTGGAAGAAAACCTGTATTAACACAAGGGGGCCAAATAATATCGCATGCCGCACTTTTCAGTTTTTTATTTGTTAAAAAAGTTTGACACATCCAATAAATTTCATTCCACTTCACGATTGTGTCCCACTTGTTGATGATTCTTCACAAAAAATGAAAATTTAATATCTTCATGTTTGAAGCCTGAAATGTGGCAAAAGTTGAAAAGTTCAAGGGGGCCGAATACTTTCGCAAGGCACTGTGTGCAAGGTGCCCGGGGAGCAATTTGGGATAGGGTGTCCTGCTCAGAGACACCACGAGATGTGCAATGACTGGGAATCGAACCCAGGACCTTTGGTCCCGAGTCAGCTGCCCTGCCATCTCAGCCCCTAAAAGACGAGGCTAAAATCGCTACTAAATCTCACATTGTATGAAAAAGTCATAAATGTTATGAACAGACAAATGTAAAAAGAAACTGTAAATAATCTCACATACTATGTATGTATATCATGGTACCTCTGCAGCATTCTAAGAGCTCTAACTCTACATCTCTTTATTTTGCTTGTGTGTTTTAAAAATATTTTTAGTGCCTCAGTTTCTCAGTTTGGTATGAAATTATTGTGACTAAACAATAACTGAGCTACTGGTTGTTTACCATGAGTTGTTTGTGTATTTTTAGAATGACTTACTAAAGAAAACTAAATTTGTCATTATTCATATATTTGTTTTTTATTTAGTTTGAATTATGAGTAATATGACAGTTACTTCAACCCAGTTTTGGGATTTTTATTTTTATTGGTTTGAGAAAACAGGCCTGTCATCACAACCTCATGTTTCCATTAAGTTTCAGGTTTTCAAAAAAAACCAAACAGATTTACAGTTTTTAAAAACATTATTATTGAAGTTTTAATTTAAACTCCAAAGAAAGTCCAAAATAAGTTTTCTTTCATTTATTTTTTGTGCTATATTTCAGAAACGGTAATGAATTAGATTTTTTTAAATGCCATTATTAATTACCGTTTCAGAAGAAGATGAGCCATTCATTATCTATCTGGGGGAAAAAAAACATCCAGCTGAAGTTTTTACAGGCAAATATTTGCTCCTCTTTTACGGCTTCACCTGATTTTATGTTACTTGTGCACTTCCACAAAAGAGAAAAATGACCAATCCTTTTGAAAAGACCATCACAAAAACTTTACCTGAAGGTGCCAATCCTTAAATCAGAAAACCCAAAGAGACATTTGGTTTTCAAAGCGCCCATTGTCCTGAATATTACTTTTTTTACTTTGATGGGGAATATCAAATCCATAAGAAGCTCTCTAAATCTAGAAAATCATTGGATTTCACTAGTGTTTTGTTTCTCGTAGCAACACAAACCTGGGTTGACCTGCGATGTGACGGCTCCTAACAGGCAGAGGAGGATGAAGAGAAAGAGGTGAACGTGCGACAGGTGCTTCATCCTGAACACGAGGAAAGAGGCTCAATTCCAGCCTGCAAGAAACGGTGAAAACAGCAAGTTACACAAATGCAGGATAGAGCTTTGATTGATCACAGCAACAAACCTAGACAAGACTTTTTCACATGTCGCAGAGAAATTTTAACGTTTATAGTTTTCAAGATGCGTTTTTCTGGACAGGAATTGAACAGAGAATGTAAGTAAAACCTAAGTTCTTGTGCAAGATATTCAAGTGGAGTTACACTGAGGAGAAGAACAGAGGGAGGTTTTTTTTTCTTGTCTGGGGCAGTGCAGAGTGATGCAAGTCCAAGTTTATTTATTTGTCATACACACCACATGAATGAAGTTGTGTACACAGGGTTCCAGTTACATCCAACAAAAGTATAAACTGTAAAAGAAAAACAGTCATAACATCTAAGATGTGAACTAAACTAAGAATACACTAAACACGAATGGTACAAAAACAATACGCAGAACAACAGCAGCAGCACGAACATGAGTCTGTGTGAGCAGAAGAGTACGAATGAACACAGCAGCATGAAATAAATCAGCATGAGATCAGCAGCATGGATAGTCAGCAGCACATATCAACAATCAAGTGGCATCAGAGAGCATAGCTTCCTCAAATAATGGGGGTAGCTGGTTTACATATACTGATACATATGGTGGTGGCCATTTTGGATTTTGATGTGGCAAGCCAGTTTTCAAAGGGAACCTTTCTTACACCTGAACGTGTTTTGCTCTTTAGATTATCAATATCCTTCACAAACTTGACTGTTGTGATTATAAATATTAATAATGTTTTGTTATTTTTTGGTCAAAGCTACAAAAGGCTCATGGAGCTGTAGCTTTCAATTAAATTCAGTTTATTTATAAAGCACCAAGTCACAAGAGAAGTCATCTCAGGGCACTGAACAGAAACATTCATTTATAAAAATAATAATTTAACATTATCTGAGGAGCAGACTGCTCTGAGTTTAACCTCGTCACAGACTCATCTCGAGCAAGCATGAAGGCGACAGTGGAAAGGAAAAACTCCCTCATGAGGAAGAAACCTTTAGCAGAACCAGGCTCAGGACAAGCGGCCATCTGCTTCGACCTGTCGGTTTGAGAGGAACAGGAAGGAGGAACAGATACACAATGGCAGGTCAAGAATCAGATTAAGATATAAATAGTATCAAATGAAAACTATTCAAATTTAACAATTCATTTAAAGAAATTAGGACAATTTGTCCTCCAGTAGTCCAAGCCTATAGCAGCATAACAAGCCAACCCTAACTATAGGATTTATCAAAAAGGAAAGTCTTAAAACTGGACAATGTGTCAGCCTCACGGACAGAAACTGGAAGTTGTTTCCACAAGAGAGGAGCCTGAAAACTGGAAGATCTTCCTCCCATTCTGCTTTTGGAAACTAGGAACCGCAAGTAAGCCTGCAGTCTGAGAGCAAAGTCATACATACAGTCTTTTGTCATACATCCGCAGAGCAGGCTCCACCCGTGAAGAGCAAGTTCAGACTAAATCATTTTTAAATTTCAAACTCATCTCATGCAACCACATCTGACTGTTTAATTAGTTTTTGTGACACTAATCAAATTCAGATTTTTTTAAACAGTGTCTTAACTCACAATCTCATTGCTTTCTTTGTGTGACTTCCTGCTGCCTCATGTTTCTCATTGAAAAGCCTTTAGCGAGCCTAATTCCTCCAATAATTCTTTTGCTAACGATTATCCGATGGGTTCCGTGCAATCTATGTCCTAAATATGTTTAGCATGTGCTGCAGAACACTCATTTAAAGACTGGATTGTACAAGAGAGAAGACTGACCTTTGCTTCTACAACTGGAAGTTACCCAAGAACTGAACTTCTGTGTTTGAAGGCCTTAGCACCACTTACTGAAAAAAATGCGTTTTCCAACATACTTCTCCACTATTTGCCTGTCTTCTGCAAATAATATAAAATAATCTGCCATTTTACATAAAAATAGAACAAACCTGTTGTCTCCATGTCTACTCATAATTGTAATAATTATAGAAGGTTCTTTAAGAAGTTGTAAACTTTTTACAAAGCCTGTCAAACAAATTTCTGAAAGAAAAACAGCAAGATATTATGAACAGCACCAATGGACAGTTAAGAGTGAAAGGTTTGAAAATGTCCAGAGACATTCAGAAGAAGAAGTCGATTGTTACAACCCATGAGTTAAATGCAACCACACGAGAAAACTCGGTCGAGTTTAGATAACATGAAGCTTTTTCAGGCTCTCTGCTACCCTTTCATTTGACACATGCTCTTTTTAGATTGAAAGATATACAGCTGGCATACTCATGTCCACAGTTTATTTACTTAGTTTTCATATATTTATATGGTTGTCAACTTTAAATGTCTGCTTGAAAACTATCTAGGCATCCAGTTACAGCACCATAATGTAAAAGGTTGAGCACACACACGTATCTATCTATTGTATCTATCTATTGTATCTATATCAGACAGACAGACAGACAGATAGATAGATAGATAGATATCATTTGAGAAAACTATGCTCTGTAGTTTTCATATTGCTTAAAAGTCAAGTTTTTTCAATTGACTGGGGTGGCTGAAGATAAATCTATGATGAGCGAGGCCACCATTGTCCACCCCCTGGCTCTGCCATTGCACCCAGATAAAATTGCTACCTCCGCTCACCAGGATCTTTCACTCTGTGCTGCCACAGACGAGCAAAAAACAGACAAATAAAAAAACCCGTACCTCTATTATTTTACACAGATGTGTGATTAGGACACATTAACATTAAGGTTTACTTGCACTTCCTTTTCAGTTTCAATCCAGAAAACACTAATTTTGAAAACTACAAACATTTACTAGTCAAATCCTTCAGGGATGGGGGACATCAGTGTACCGATTGTTGTCTTAGTTAAAAAGCAAACGAGAGGGCTGTGTGCCTGCACCTGAGGAAGAAAAACTGAAAAAAGAAAACTTTTAATTGTCTGCAACTTGGTTCCCATTGTTGGTTCAAGACACAAGAGCTGTTCAAAAGGTGTGGTTCATTCATGATTTTCACATCTTTAACTACAATGTGCAAACTGATCACAAGAAGTAAAAAGGGAAGTTGAATACTTTTTAAATATGCGCTTAAATGTACATGAAATAAAAAGTAAAGTCATGTTCATGAACATAATAAACACTTTTCACAATGAGACTATTTCAACAAACAGACGTGGGATTGTATTAGTCAGATAGGATCAAATACAAAAACAAAAACATGCGGTAGAAGTTTCTAAATGTGCCAAATACTACCAGTGGGAGTTATGGAATGTGCTTTTTTTATGTTTAACACTATTTCTGAAGAGTCAGCTTCCCACTTGGAATAACATGTGAATCCTTTGAGATATGCTCCGTTAATCCCGAGTCTTTAAACCAAAAACACTGGACAGTTCACAAGAAGAACAGACTTTAATCACTCGTACACGACCTTTAATCAGACCCAGACAGGTTCATATAAACATTTCAATAGTTATAGAAACATGAAAAGCTTTCATATCCATTTGGAGTGGAATGTTCCTTAATGGAGTGACTGGACTTGAGTTTCTGTTTCTGGGGGTGGGGAGGGGAACTGTTCTCCATAAACATTAGCCCCCTCCAGGCTGGTTCAGGAAGTGGTGAAGGACAGATACTCCCCTCACAAAACCACAGAAAGCAGAAAAATCCAGCACACACTCAGCATTCAAATAGTCAAAAGTATGAATTTAAATGTTTTAAAGTGGAAAAAAATCCACACTCGGACAGCTTACAAGTATTTTGATTTTATAAGTCGCACTGAGATATAATGTTGTAGTGATCACACTCATACAATCAATGAGAGCTCAGCTCCATGTCTTCCTACAGATTATTAACATGGCAAACAGGATGGAAAATCTATTTTGCTTTCCCAGGTATTTTTTTTTTATTTAATTTTTTTGGTACAAAAAGAATTTCTGGGAGTGATACAGAGCCGAGGTGGTGAACCACCACATCCTGCAGCCTGGGAAAAGCCTGCAAAGTCAACACACATATTTATTTGGCTCTGCTCTCTACCTCTGTGTCTTTTACGTGCACACACAAACACACAGCAGCATCAATAATTGAGGTTTCACATGAGGGCTTGCAGGAGAGGAAGCAGCCAGTGGCTCACAGGGCTGAGAAAGACTGCAAGTCTAACCAGTCCAGCCACCATAAACAGACCTGGGTCTGCCATAATCAGAATGACGAGAAAATGAACGTTTTTGGCAAGACAGTTGTTCTAAAAGTTACAGCTGTTCATTTATAATCACAGCAGTAAAACACAAGCCATTGTTTTTAATAAACTGTTTCATAATGAGCCTATTCTTTCATAATGAGCCTATTCTTTCTTATTAAAGTAAGAAAAACCCTTAATGAACTTGAAACAAATTCAAGTAATAAGAAAAAAAACTAAACACCAACTAATGGATATCAGACATTGCTTTTGAATGGTGGTTCAAGGAAATTAATAATAATAATAATAATAATAATAATAATAATAATAATATATATATATATATAT